TGGTTTAAATGAGTGGTAAGTAAGTCTGATAAAATAGTAAGTATGGTTTAAATGAGTAGTTTCCAACTTACTACAACAACTAAACACAGTTATACTTGATATGGTTGTACTTACTATTTCACATAACTACACTTACCATTCAAACATTAATAAAATGCACCTAACCTCTAAAATAAATATAAAATTTATAAAATAGAATTTAAGAAAAAAATAAACAAAATAAATTTGAATTCTAAACATTTTATTATAATTTATTACATTTTATGAAATATGATTTTTTATTTATTTATCTACTTAATAGCAATAAATGAAACCTAATTTCCTTTTCATTTATCACACTTGAAAATAATAAATGCAATTAATAAGAAATATAAGTAATAAAATATAGAAAAAATTATAATTTATTTGAGGATTCCATGAAATAAATTATAATTTTTTCTATATTTTATTACTTATATTTCTTATTAATTGCATTTATTATTTTCAAGTGTGATAAATGAAAAGGAAATTAGGTTTCATTTATTGCTATTAAGTAGATAAATAAATAAAATATCATATTTCATAAAATGTAAAAATTATAATAAAATGTTTAGAATTCAAATTTATTTTGTTTATTTTTTTCTTAAATTCTATTTTATAAATTTTATATTTATTTTAGAGGTTAGGTGTATTTTATTAATGTTTGAATGGTAAGTGTAGTTATGTGGAATAATTACAACTATATCAAGTAGTAAATGTGTTTTGTTGTTGTAATAAATTGAAAAACACTCATTTAAACCATACTTACTATTTTATCAGACTTACTTACCACTCATTTAAACCACATTTATTACTCAATGAGACTCTATTTATTATTTTATCAGACTTGACTTACTACTCATTTAAATAACACTTACTACTCAATGAGACTCTACTTACTACTTTATTAAACTTGACTCATCACTTAAATAACACTTACTACTCAATTAGATTCTACTTACTACTTTATCAAACTTGACTCATCATTTAAACAATACTTACTACTCAATGGGACTCTACTTACTATTTTAGTAGACTTGATTAATTAATTATTTAAATTAAACTTAAGATTGCACTTACTATTTCATCAAACTTGATTTTTTTTTTTTTTTACTACTTAAATCTCATAATTTTTCTTTTAACTAGGTGAAATGTTGTTCCAACATAATATTAAAATTTATAAATTCAAAATATCATGGAAAGTTAATGTAAAAAAAGAGATAGAGACGATAGAGACATAGATTCTTACCTAAGGAGTTCCAAATCAACAACAATCTTATTTTTAAATCTTCAAATATTCAAAAAATTTAAAAATAAACATAAAATTTTGTTCATGGAACCCTCAAATAAATTATAATTTTTTCTATATTTTATTACTTATATTTCTTATTAATTGCATTTATTATTTTCAAGTGTGATAAATGAAAAGGAAATTAGGTTTCATTTATTGCTATTAAGTAGATAAATAAATAAAAAATCATATTTCATAAAATGTAATAAATTATAATAAAATGTTTAGAATTCAAATTTATTTTGTTTATTTTTTTCTTAAATTCTATTTTATAAATTTTATATTTATTTTAGAGATTTTGAAAATTTATTATAACTTAATTTTTTAAGTTTACCTGTTACCTGAATAGCAGGTTAAGTGTATTTTATCAATAATTGAATGGTAAGTATAGTTATTAATAATAGTAAGTATAATCACATCAAATAGTAAGTATACTTAGTTATTGTGGTAAGTTAAAAACCACTTTTTGGTTTCAAAACCATTAAAAATTACCTTATTTTTTACGAAACTACCTAGATTTCTTAACCTGGTTTTATTATTATCAATCAATGGTTAGATTTAGTTTACTTTTAGATCCAATGGTCCAAAATTATTTATGTATGATACATGAAAACCACCTTCATGTATCATAGAAAAATCCTAGCTTGATGTATTCAAAAGTTGATTTTGGCAACTTTGAATTCTAGATAGTTTCCAAAAACATAACTTTGTTTCACAACGTCATTTAAGTGACGTCATTTTGAACATTACAGAAACATTTCAAAGGAAATAATTCCGGAGGATCCAAACGTATCTTGAAAGTTCCTCTACTATTTTTTTTTATTATTATTATTATGTCTCAACCAAAACAACGCCATTTTGGTTGTACAAAACGACGTCATTCTGAACACTATAAGAGAAATAACTCTAGAGGATCTAAACTTATATTGAATAGGCTATTTGACTTATCTCTCTATCTCTATTTAAGGGAAATAACTTATGGAAGTCGATGTCATCATTGCATGAAAGTTCTCTACTATTTTTTGCTTTTGTTTTGCTCATTATGTCTTAACCAAAACAACGTTGTTTTTTGTTGTACAAAACGATGCCGTTCTGAACACTACAAGAACAATTTAAGGAAAATAACTTTAAAGGATCCAAACTTATCTCTATTTCTCTATCTCTCTATATGTATATCGGATCTAAACTTATCTTTATATCTCTATCTCTCTTTATATATATCGGATCTGAACTTATCTCTGTATCTCTCGAATTTATATTGGTTTCCAATTCTGCCCCTCTCTCTCTCTCTCTGTTTATATTGATTTCCAATTCTCTCTCTTTCACACTTGTTAAAAAATAATTATTGGGTAAGTTGTAATTTACTGTTTTCTAGTATGTTTTTACTGATTTGAAAGTGTATTTATTATTTTTTATTACAATCGGTGTTATCAAAGGCAATAGCCGTGTCAAACTCTTAAAATGAATAAATAAATAAATAAATTGAAACATTCTAACACAAATTTCTAAAATAAATAAATAAATAAATTATAAAAACTCATATAAATTATATCAATCAATCATAGTATCTTCATTAATAATTTTTAATTACATTTTACTTTTACTTAACACACATTTTAATTATGTAATAAAATTAAAATTACTTTGGCATTGTATAACACATTTCGACAAATAATTTGAGAAAAGAAAAAACTAAAGTACCAGGTAGATATCTAAAGAACGCATTCAAAAAAAGATAGTTGTCATGAATTTTTCATCAATGACGTGCATTTAAACTTGATAAAATAAGCCTATTTTGAGAAATATATTAAAAGTTAATTTTTTTAATTTTTTATTAAAAAAAAACGTATCAAAAACATAAAGAAATGATATAATTTTAAAAAAATCAGAAAATTAAAAAAAATAATTTTTAACCGTGTTATTAAAATAAGCCTAAAAAACCTCAAGCAAATTTCTCATCATTAATTTTAAATTTTGAGTTTTTAATTTATTTTTTGTTTATTTTTAATTCCATTTCGCTTTTGTACGCAACTGTATTGGTGTGGTTGGGAATCATGAGAAAATACAGTGGAAATGTCACCTATCAATTTCCATCACCTACCCCCCAAACCAAACCCCCCCACCAAATTTTTCTCTCTTTCCTTCGTTTGTATTCTTCTTCTTACTTTCTCATTCTCTGACTTGGTTTCCACTCCCCTCTCTCTTGCCCTGTTTTTCTTTTGGGCTTCTCTTTTGGTTTCTGATCCTTGCCAACAATGGAGGCAAAGCTGTTAAGACCCGCCTCTCCTTCCATGTCCATCCCTACTTGCTTCAAGCCTTCTTCAAAACCCAGTTACCTTTTTCAGCACCAAAACAGCCAAAATTGCAGCTTCAGATATTTTAATTCGAATTTGTCAAAGCATGGCATTCAATCGGTTCAAGCCTCTGCAACTTCCATTGGGTACTTTCACAAATTCTTCTTTTTCTTCTGATCAGATGTCCATGGTCATATAGAATTCACTTGTCTAAAAGCAATTTTATTTTTATTTTTATTTTTATTTTTTTATAGTTCAATTTTGTATATGTGGGTTTAGGGTAATTAACTGTGTGTAGTCTTTCTGTAATGCTTTTTATTATAAATAGGTAGTGTAATTCTAATTTTTTGAAGAATTGATTGAAGGGTTAGATTAATTACATCTAGACATTTTAAATGTTAATACTATATATGACAACTTGATTTTGCCAATAAACTCAGTTTAGTCGATTGAACATTGCTTTATGCACGATCGTTTGAACATTATCGAAGAACCGTGAACAAAAGTTTTTCTTGAGCTTTCCCCAATTTTCTACCTGACCATACCAGTCTTTTATGTGTTAACTCGGGGCTCTTGATGCAATGTAGATAATTGTTACAGATGTTTCAGGTTTTATGATTCTGTGGCAACTTGAAAACCCCCCATTTGTGCATTGGCTTCACTGCATTTATGTAGTTCTAGTGTGGCTTGTGTTCCATTCATAGCAATTGGGCTACTTAAAGAGCAGAGAATCTCCTTAATAGCATGAAAAAATTTATGTTGTCTTATAAAGATGCACAAATATAATCTAGCTTATGTAGTAAAGCGTGCATGTGTCAGCAACTAAGCACCTAAGAAGCACATACATGACATGACACCAACACGACATTGGCACGCCAACGATGAAGTCTTCAAAAAATCTAAGACACACATGGGAGACGCATACAAAATTTAAATTAGTTTGGGACAAATTCTGCTATAGATTCATTTTTAAAATAGTTGCATAATTACTATCTATTTGAAGGTTTTAAGCATCTGCCTTGTGAGATATCTGAAATAAAGATCTGAAGTTAGTCCTTGTTTTTTCTAGACTGCCAAAGAAAGAAAGGATTGATGAGAGTGAAAGCTACACTCTAGACGGTATAAGGCATTCTTTAATTCGACAAGAGGATAGCATCATATTTAGTCTCTTGGAGAGAGCTCAATATTGCTTTAATGCCGAGACATATGACCCCAACACTTTCTTCATGGATGGGTTCCACGGCTCTTTGGTCGACTTCATGGTCAAAGAAACTGAAAAGCTTCATGCTCAGGTATGTTATGCCTTAGTTCTGGAAAGGAGGAAAAGGGAATGATGTTATTGCTAGTTTTTTGATTGCTTTTTGAATGTACGTCAGGTTGGAAGATACAAGAGTCCTGATGAGCATCCTTTCTTCCCAGATGACTTACCTGACCCAATGTTGCCACCTCTGCAATACCCTCAGGTAAAATAGTATATGCCGTGGAAATACAATGGCCTTGCATGGTTGTGTTTTTGTTTTTTGTTTGAAAAAAAAATTTTGTTTCATTTTTTATTTTTTCTTTCGTTTCTATGTTTCCAAAATCACACAAGTTGGTTGTGTTTAGAAAATCTTCCGGAAATCAATTCAGAAACAATTTTCCATTTTTTTTTTGGGTCTTGTCCAGAAAACAAAAACGAAAACACAACCAAACAAGGTGTGTTTACATAAAGTTGCGATATATAGGCTAACCTTTGGCAGACAATTTACTTGGTTATTGGTGTCTCTGCTCTTTTAATTTATTGAAAGCCAGAGTTTTCATGATTGACATAGTTTGGAACATAATGCACCAGAAGTAAATTAAAAAAGTTGGAACTCGGAAAACCTGGGGAATACTTATCCATGACTTCTTGAGCTCAAGTAACTCAATGAAATCAATCAATTAGATTTTCTTGATACATGAAGACTCGATCAAATCTATTCATTTTGAACTAGTTTAGTTCACAATGAAATGCATCATCCAACCTTGATATTAAATTTTAGTAAGATCTTGCACATGCGTATTCGTATTTATGTGCACAATTGTGGCCATTTTTATTGATTCTCACAAAGTGATATTTGTGTCAATCACCCTAATATAGCCTTGTTTGATATTCAAATAGGTTCTTCATCCCCTTGCCGATTCAATCAATATCAACAATAAAGTATGGGATGTGTATTTTAGAGATCTTCTTCCGAGATTAGTGAAGGAAGGGGATGATGGTAACTGTGGATCAGCTGCGGTTTGTGACACAATTTGCTTGCAGGTATACATTTTAACTAATTTATGCACATAGAACTAATTTTGATTAGTTTCAACAACTGAAGGTTTTACTACATTGATGTACAGTGAGTGAACTGTGTTTTAATGCTTATCAATGTGTGTTGTGTCTATTTCTGTTAGTCATCATCCCATATTCTTTTTTCCCCTTTGTTTTGATTTGGTAATTGCAGTTACATTGTTGTCTGCTTGTCTGTCTTTTGTGGATGTAGTTTGTTTTCAAATTTTATTTTGTCAATTAAAGTTCATTAAGTCCAATTTTCTAGCAATAGAAAAGCAAGTAGCATAATTTGAATATCCAACATTGAAGAATAAACAAATATATTTTGCCAAGGTTTGGTGGCACCAAAAATTTCTGCTCGATGTCCAAGTTTGAACCTAGTCTATCATAAAGACAACTGAAGAATTCAAATTCTTTCATGATATCCTTAAGACAAATCACCCAAAGAGTTTATTAGGGGGTGGAATGGTATATTGAGTTCCATTTGAAAACGGAAGATGATGGGTGTGCTAAGCAATTTGAAATACTTCTATGAGAATTCATATGGCTTAATATTAGGGGTAGCTTATTCAATAATTGAAGGCATTTCAATTTTCTCACGAGCATATGACTTCATACTTGAGATGAAACAAAATATGTGCTTTTATGCGTGTGCTGAGCAAGGATCTGGGCTAGTATACTTGAGCACTGTTGAGAATTGACATGGATTTTATGAATTCACTTTCTTGTTTCACTTTCTTGTATTCTCTTCTTCAGTTTGCTATTTTGCTTCACTGTCTCGACCCTATGTTGGTATTTCTGGCCTCCAACATAGCATTTTTACTCTTTTAACTTGGCACTCGTTCAACCTATGCTTGCAGGCTCTCTCGAAGAGAATTCATTATGGTAAATTTGTAGCAGAGGCTAAATTCCGGGCTTCACCAGATGAATATGAAGCTGCCATTAGAGCACAAGTATATTTCTTTTTTCAACCCTCTTTGTAATGTTCTTGCACAATATGCTAAAACAGGTCCTCATTTTATTAAGGCGTGCTCGTGATTTGCAGGACAAGGCCCAACTGATGGATTTGCTGACATATCCGGCAGTGGAGGAGGTGATAAAGAGGAGAGTAGAGATGAAAGCCAAAACTTATGGGCAAGAGGTGAATGTTGATGTCAACGAAGATGGGGCTGACCTGGAATACAAAATAAAACCGAGCTTGGTTGCTGATCTATATGGGGAGTGGATCATGCCTTTGACAAAGGAAGTTCAAGTTGAGTACTTGTTGAGACGGCTTGATTGAACGGAGGTCAGATGATTAGACTAAATCATATATATATATATATATAAACCTCTGATTGCTGTTTGGGATTATATACATATAAATTAGCATTTGGGACTGTCATTCTGGATAGTTACTAGTTGATTTTGATGTTTGTATGTACAACAGGACCATGGCATATTTCCCGCTCATGTAAAATATGATATATACATATATATAGTTTTGTATAAATTGGATTGTGTTTTACCGAGCCGGGAAAGGCTATTTCAAACAATTGAAAATATTTATAAATAAATAAATAAATAAAAACATTTCATAACACTGGTAATATTTAGAAAAAAACTCCTTTTTTTTTTTTTTTGGAGCAGAGCTAAAAAATTTCTCTCCAATGGGCTGCTATATCCCATATTAGTTGCTCTTAACAATGCTATAATTTGGCTGATCAAATAGCTCGTTTGGCTTTTGTTTTTGTTCTTGTTTAGCGTTAAACAAAAAGAGAGAGATAGAGAGAGTAAAATAATAAAAAATAAAAAATAAAAATAAAAATAATAAAAAAATAAGAGAGATAGAGAGAGTAAAATAATAAAGAAAAAATTGAATCTTTTTTCAAGCAGTCCAAATACATTTTCAAGTTTTCAAACACTTCTCAAGTTCAACAAAATAAGAAAAATAAAAAAGAAATGGGTGAATTAACTCCTCACATGCTTGGCACATATAAAATCCTGTATGAGAGCTTCACAAGACCACCAATTTTTGCACTAGCAAATTACTACACAAGGGCTAGGAACAATTCTGACCCCTTCAACATTCAACGCCTTAATAGAATATAGGCCGTTTGTTTTTAGAGGTAGAATGGAAAGATTTGTTTTTAGAGGTAGAATGGAAGGAATTGATAGTGAGGGGATTAAGTAAAATTGTGTTTGTTTTAATAATAATTGTTAGTGTAAGGATTGTTAAATTATTTTTATATAAAATAAATATAAAATAATAAAACAAATAAAAAAATACAAAAACATTAAATATTAATGTTTTTTAAAAAATGCCCAACATGTAAAAAAATTTAAAAAAATAAAAATAAAAATAAAATAAAAAATTTCCAAAAAAAAAATAAAACAAATAAAACAATGATTTTTATTTAACAAAAAATACAAAAAATTAAACATTAATGTTCAAAAAAAATGCTCGACATGTAAAAAATAAAATAAAAAATAAATAAAAATAAAAAATTTCTAATCCGCCGGACTGTTTTTCTAATACCAAATCTTGGAGGCCCATCCGAATTCCCTTGGGGAGGTCCATCCTAATCCGGAGCTCACTATCAATCCCCTCCTCATCTCTCAAAACAAACACAATATTAGTGGGTCTCATCTCACTATCAATCCCAATCCCCCTCTAACTCTCCAAACAAACGGGGCCATAGGGTAAATTATAAATACAGCCTTGAGGTTTGTGTAAATATAGATTGTCCCATATAATTTTAAAAATTACATCTCACCTTTATAAGTTTTTAATCACATAATAAATAGCCTCTTTTATTAAAAAATTATTAAGTTAAATAATAATTTTTAATGATAGTAACTAGTTGATTTTGATGTTTGTATGTACAATTGGACAGCAAACATGTTTCTTGATCATGTAAAAGTTTTATAGTATTATAAAATGAAGGCCCAACTAGATGTTCATGTCTCTTCTTTTTGTTTTTCTTCTCAAAATATCCCCTTTGCGCTTATGTGGGTAGTTATGCCATAAATTCAGTGTTTTTTTTTTTCCTTTCAAATTTCTCTGACTTCTCATTTCATCTTTTGAATTTAATCATACAATTTATAATTTTATTTTTATAAAATAAAATAGTATACACATACATCGTGTGTACCACAACTTTTAATATATATATATATAGTTTCATATGAATTGGATTTGTTTTATCTAGTTGGGAAAGCCTCAAATCTTAACTAGATCAAGAAGAGAATATATAGAATCTGCAACTGCCAACAGTAGATCAAGCTTTGGAAGATCATCAAACAGTTAGCATAGTCTCTCTTTCATTGTGATACTACTTTCAGTAATCATTTTTACCTCATGGAAAAGGTAAACATGGTTTTGGGTTTTCAATTTATTTGTTATTTTTAAAAAATATTCAAAAAACTTGTAATAGTTCAGGAGAAGCTTTTTATTTTATTTTTTTGGGCACGAGGTTAAAGCAATATCAACATGGTGATATTGACAGAATTTGGCGAGAGGTCAAAAATTTCCCTCTCCAATGAGTTGCTATATCCCATATATTAAAGAGCATAAGAACTCATGGTGTCCTTTAGATTTCATTAATGCCCTCATTATGATGATCATGTTGTCAAACATGCATTTGATTCACACTTCATGTTTTGAAAAATATTTACCATAAAAAATGCAAAAAAAATAGAAAGTATTTTTCTTCTAAATAAATGCGTCATAAAGTGCTAGATGTAAAAACTTTCAATGATATAGTGTATTTTTTCACTCTAACAAAATGAAATATCTTCATTTGACATACATGTCATGATTCTAACTTTTTGATATGGTACAAATATCTAAATTTGACATTCAAAATATGGTAGTGAAAAAACTCGTATCGGTTATAGAAAGGTATCAATTTTTCAATTGAGACAAAGCTCATATCTTATTGTCTTATATTTCAGCAACAGAACTAAATGAGAGATGATCTTGAATCGATTACAAAAATCTGAATCTCATTTGAACATAATTTTCAATAAAGTAGTTCAAAAAATAGTTGCTCTTTGTGTGACCTCATGTCAAACAAATAAGAGTAAAATAATTTTTAAAAAATGACTCTTACTTCAAGCACTTGCTTCTTTAGCTTGTTTATTTCGAAAGGAAATAGATTTTTTTAGTATTTTTTTAATTTTTTTATAAAGGATATATAAAAAAAAATAGAAAGAATAATTTGATAATTTTTAATGATTTTTTTGGCTAAAAGCATGAGTTCCCAAACAAGCCCTCAGTCGGTCACCTTAAATTCATGGGAGAAATTACAAAAAAAAAATAAATTAAATTAAAATTTAAATTAAAATTAAAATTTGTTTCTTATAACAAAATAATTTTTTATTTTTTATTTTTATTACTTTAAATTTTAAAATTTTGATTTGTTTTCAATCTAATTGATTCGTCAATTTCTATTAAATAAAATTAACAGAAAAATAATATTTTAATTATTAAATTCAATATAAATGTACATAAATGTCTAAATATATTTTTCGTCATTTTTACTTTACAAAAATAAAAAATTAATATTTAAATTGATAAATTTAATTATTTTTTATTATAAAATTATTTAATTTTTCAGTGTACTAGAAAAATCACGAGTCATGACCAAAAAGATATAGGAAGATTTTTTTTAGGGTCCCTGATATTAAGATTTTATAGCATAAAGGACATTCAATATTTTCATAATGTCTAAGGTCCCTCAGATTGATCTAGAGAAATTTCAAATCAAAGAAATTTGAAATTTCTCTAGTTTGTTTAATTTTTTTGATTTTCTATATTTTGAAATTTCTTTAGGGTTGAATTTTCTCTAATTTGCTCACAAATAACTCTGTGATTTGTTCACAATTTTCTCTATGCATTTGACTAATATTCTCTGATTTACTCATAATTTTTCTCTATATTTTAACCAAACCAGAGAAAATTGTGTCTGTTACTTTTCTGTGTTAATTTTCTCTGTGTGATGGCTAGAGAAATTTATTGATTTTCTCTGGCCAAATCACATTCTTCCACTGTGATCAAATCACACATTCAATTTCAATCCACAATTTCAAGTAACCAAATCCATAATCTAAAAACTCAAAATGAATTCAAGCCTTATCAAAATTTCTAACATCAACTATCTTCAAACAAGACACCTTAAACTCTATCAACAAATCTCTCTCCATCAATGCCAACTTCACCAACGCCTCCGCTGCAGTCGACCAAGAGAAATTTCCATCTAGAGAAATTTCAAACCATTTCTTTGGTTTGTTCAATTTTTTTGTTTTCTTTGCTTTGAAATTTCTCTGGGGTTGAATTTTCTCTAATTTGCTTACAAATATCTCTATGATTTGTTCATAATTTTCTCTGTGTATATTGATATTGCTTTGTGGAAGTTTGAGACCACCAAATACTACTGCATTGTCATTGATGCTCCTGGCCATCGTGATTTCATCAGCTCCACCACTGGTAGTTTTGAATCCGGTATTTCCAATGATGGTCAGACGCCTGAGCAGCATGCTAGAAACAAAATTCAGCTCTTTTGAAATTTCTTTGAGTTGAGAATTTCTCTGGACCAAGGAAGAATTTCTCTAGATTCACTTCAATTCATAAATTTTTTCTCAAAGCTAGAGAAATTTTCCTCACCAACCCAGAGAAATTCACTCAAATCAGAGAAATTCCCTCTCTTCAAATCACTCAACCCAGAGAAATTCACAACTCAGAAATTCCATTTTCTATCACCATTCGAATCTAGGTTTTGCTCCTCTACTTCCCGACGGCTCTAACCCCGATTTCTCTACTGTCATCCCCAATGTGAATCTCAAATCGACGATTCTCAACTGGTGCGACTCCTCCCGTACCGAATGCCCTCGGTTATCGGATTACAGCTCTGTCGAGACCACGGTTCGTGGGTTAATGACTTTTGCGAGAGAAGACGACGATGATTTGAAAATTAGGGTTTCTGAGAGAGAGTTGTTGAAGGGCGTCGCTGAAAATCCACTTATTTTATTCTCGCACGCAGCGACTGAGTTAAATCACCGAGTGAACCATTTCTACTCATCGAGTTCTGAGGAATCGGTGATCGCGAACGTTCAATCGACTACTCTGCTTCCATTCACGACTCGGGCGATGTGGTTCTCGCCATCGTCTACTTCGAATTCATCAGAGATCACTGCTGATGAAACGCTAAACCCTAATTCGATCTCTGAGAACGAAGAGTTTGTTGCGAAGCTCAAGAGTCTGGACATGTTTGAGCAAGAACAAGGTCTAATAACTCTGAGAAAGCTCACGAGGATAAAGGAAAAAGCTAGGGTTTGGGGTTGATGTAGGAGAGAGAGAGACTAAACTTAGTTTTTGAAGCCCTTTCGTTTCTTCTTAAATTTCTCTGTGATATATGAGGTTGGGGTTGAAGGATTTTAGACATCATAAAATAATATTGTGGATCTCTTCCATTATTAAAAGTAGGAGAGGGACCTTAGACTAATTTTTCCAAAGATATATTTATTTTTTGTTATTTCAAATTAAAACATTAGTTATTATAATTTATAATTATAAAAGATATCATATTATTTCCAATGAATTTTATTTCATAAAAGTAAATTACAAATATATCTCTTGAGATTTGATTAAAATATAAATCATCCTCTATAGTTTTAAAAATTGCATTCCACCTCTAAGGTTTCTAATTTCATAACAAATCGTCCATTTTATTAATAAATCATCAAATAAATTAACAGTTTTAATGATATTATAAATATTTTTTAATTAATAATTTAAGTAATTTTATTAATATATAGGAGAGAAATTATGAATTTTACTTTTTTAGTGAATATTTATAATTTTTTAACTTACAGAAAACAATTTATACTTTAAATAAATTTTAAAAAATATATTTGTAATTTACCCTATTTATAAAACATTTTCTTATTTTTTATTTATTGGGGATAAGGTATTAAAACCCATTTGGTTTCAAACCTTCACTTCACTCTCTTCCATGGCAGCCGTATGTTCAATTTCAGTAGCTCCAACACCCAAACCTCTCAATACAAACAGACCCCTAAATTTCTCTCCCAATTTCCTCAATCCCAAATCCTTTCTTCCATCCATTCCCTCTCTTCGCTCCGCCGCCGCCGCAGCCGCAGATGGTCGGAAAACAAGCGAAGATTCAAACGGCGTCGACGCTCTCCGCCGGTTTATCGATCTCAATCTCGGCAACTGGACCGGTTCTTTTCACGTCAGTGTTATATACATACTCATCCATCTCCATTGCTTTGTCATATTCAATGTGTGTTTATGTGAAGCATTTGAATTCTTAACTATTTTTGTTTGATTGATTCGCAGCAATTTGATCCTGATGGGAATTTGATGCATAAAGTTAGTACGAAGCTTGCCGCGAGCTCTTATGGTGAAGATGAACTTATGAGTTTGATTCAAACGTAAGCTTCATCATCGTTTTGAATATTTTTGGAAATGTTGGAAGGAAAATTCAAAGAAACCAAGGAATATATGAAGTTCTTAGAAATTATTTGCAGAGTTAAAAAAAACCCTTTTCAGAAACTTACATTGTTGGAACAATCTTCTGTCGAGTGTGTGACACTCTGTCCTTAAAGACAGATTCGCCCAGCTACGGTGCTTACGGTTGAGTGGCGTCTATCTCCTAGGATAAAATGATCTTCACAAATTGTAGTAGCACTCCAAACAATTTGTACGGCGAACCAAACCTTGTGTTCTTATACTCTCTGAAATTTATTCTAAATCTAATATGAAGAATAATGCAAAACCAATAAAATTTGGACAGCAAAAGAGACAATTTCAGGTTATTTTCGGACCCTTAGACTGCTGGAAATGGTCTGAATTTATAGACAATCAATTCTGTCCCAACAGGTATGTAAACCGCCAAACAGATATGACACTGTTTTAGGACAGATTGAAAATGAAAACTGGACAGATCTTGAATCTGTCCGAATTTCAACAGACCTCTGGACAGATTTTTGGATGTCTATTTATCAACCACAATCTGTAGGAACAAGTCTCCAATATATAGATCCGAACAGGAACACAAAAGAAGTGAACAGGTGCAATTTGAATTGAACAGATGTCCAAATTGTAGCAGTTATCTAACTGCCCAGAACTGCTGTATCCCACTGTTTGAATCTGCCTGGGCAGATTTAATAGTGAATCTGTCCGAATAATATAACAGATTGGTAGTTAAAAACCTGTTCGAAATCTGTAGTAGAATATGGAAGAGGCACAAATTTTGGACAACCAATTTGAATTCAAATTTAAATTAAATTCCCGCAAAAAATTTGGAAAAGATTCAAATGAATTTTGTCCAAAAAATTAATACAAGAATCGATCCACACCCGGACGGATGGCGGCGGTCCGCGTGTGGTGGTTTGGGCTAAGGTTCACTTTGTCCATAACTCCTCCCTTCTACAAACTTGGGGTGCCCCTTGGGGCCCAACCCAAGTATTGTAGGTTAGAGCTTATAAACTCAACAAAACTCTCTTAAAGTTTCAACGTAGGACAAGTCTCACAAGGAAACCCACATTAACACTTTAAATGTTCATTCCACGAACCCGAAAACGACGTCATGTTCCCATTCACTCATAAATAGTTTTGACGATCCGTCTTCACCGTGTGACTTGCCACGCGGCAAGGAACACTTCACCTTTTCAGACCCACCCCAAAAGACGTTCGAGGCCCACTCAATTTTGGGCTCAAAGTTGGCCCAAAATATGCCTATATAAACCAATTTTTCCAACATACATATCATTAGAAAGTTTATTAACAAATTAATATGCTATATAAACTTCAAAAGATTTAAGGCAAATTTATTTTGATATCTTGGTCCTTGTAATTTCAATTGGCTCGATTTTAACCTTGCATTTATGACTTTTTCTCAATCTAATTCAATTAATTACAATTGTTAGGATTTTCTTAATAGAAAATACGCATATAAGTTACATGTGCCATGCTTTTTTTGAAAACAAAACTATAAACTTGCTCAATTCAACGAGGTAAGCTCAACCAATTCAGTAATAATTTTTCGTCAAAAACACTAATAGCATTATCAATTGGACTAAATGGATAAAAAAAAATTTAAAATCAAGGGTCAAAATTGAGCCAATTGAAAGTGTACGGGCCAAAATGATAGATGAGGCATAATGTAGGGACTATTGTTGTAATTTGCTGAAAGATTTATACTGTTATCTTAATTGGTTGGTTTTAGTTAATTACTAGTTGCTATAAAGTTTAGAGTACTTGCATTGATTTTGTTGTTGTTGTTGTTGTTGTTGTTCTTCTTCTTCTTCTTCTTCTTTTTGCATAGAAAACAAAATTTATTTTTTATTGATTAGAAAATGATTTTTTCCCCCTTCTAATTTTGGTCATTCATTTACCATTCAATCTTGATGGTTTCCCGGTTTCCTGTTTTCTGTATATATATATTTTATTTTTGGCCATGTTTCCCACTTCCATTTCTCTTATCGTTTGGCATTGATGCCATTTGTCACAAATGTTCTGTTTATTGTGGTTGGTTATTCAACTTTTGAAAATATCCTAAACTAATCTCACTGTACAAATGTGTATCAGTGACTTTTTGCTTTAATATGTATGCGAGAGAACTAGCTTAATGTGCTTGACCTCTTTAGGTTATACATCAAACAACCCCCATCAAGCACTTCAATCTCAGGAAATGCAGATGAGGTGGAATGGGCAGAGTACAAAATCAAGGAAACCAACATATTTACTGTTGACAAATATCAACAAGTGAGCTCCTTCAATACTTCAAAGATTTTTCATTTACTCTTTGCAAAATTTTCCTGAATAAAAGATTTTATCACAATTTGCATTTGTTTCTTCGTTTCTTGTTGATAATCCATTATATGATTAGTTTGCAGATTGGCCTTTTCCCCAATGAAAAGGCCTTTGCACTGCGGTATCAGACAGCTGGCATGTTAGAAACTGTACTAAGACAAGGTGTGATGGGTGAAGATGACGATGGAGAAGAATCACCCAAGTGAGTTCTCTTTCTATTGATTTTGAATTGTGGACGCATGAATTGATAATTGGTTAATGGTAAAACCAACGATTTAGAGAGGATTGTAAGAGCATTTGTGGGTTTAGGAGAAGAAAGAGAGAGCAATAATGGTGGTTTGGAGGAGGCAACACACTAGAGTCTCTTAGTCATAGAAGAGAGTTGCTTGCTTGGAGATGAAGATGGAAAGAGCTCACTATTTATGAAGAGGTCAGGCCATGGAGGTCTACTCACCACATGTGGGACCAAAGCACATAGAGAGGTGATGTGGTGATGACATGGCTAGGTTTCACGGGGCAAGACTTGTGGGTAAGACTCTGCAGGAACAACACATTGTGTGGTGCTTGCCAAGTCCTATTTTGCACCATGGAGGTCAACTCACCACACGTGGGACCAAAGCACGTGGAGGAGGTGATGACATGGCTAGGCGTCATAGGGTGAGACTCATGGGCAAGACAATGCACAAACAACACCTTGTGTGGTGCTTGCCAAGTCCGATTTTGCAAGCTCACCAAGCTCACCAAGCTCCAACACCTCACAAGTGAGTAGCAAGCAACAAACAATCAACAAAATATTTAGCAATATAAAAAGCTAAAGTAAAGCAATGGGTAATTAGAGACACAATTGGAAGCAAAAAGATCTCATTTCATCAAAAAAGGTGTATTTACAAGGTTTAACAATGCACTTGCACTGTAAGACAATACGTAACATAAGAATAGGCAAAAGACTAGCAAGCTAGTGGGCAGAGATACTTGCACTGCTAACCTTCCATAATAGGAGGAAGCATCACCCCTCCTTGAAGAGTATATAATGACTTTTAATAATTACAAGAAGGAAAAATAAATTACATGACAAGTACTACTTGGTGTCTTTTTGCACTAATTTTTTGGACCCAAGGTTGTGCGGCAAAATGTCTATACATTTCCCCATATGCACAATGGTGGCAGTGATGGGCAACTTGTCACACAATTGCAGGCACATGGCTGCAAGGTTGCTTGGGCATTGGTGGCTCCTTGCCTTGGTACCCACACATCTTGCGCACATGATAAACGCACTAAGAGCTTCTTTGGTAGTAGTTTTTAAATTAATTTTTATTTTTTTGGAGGGGGGAAGTGTGGGAATTTTGCTCCAAAAAATTTCAAACAATTGAATGAAAAATTTTAAAAATCCACTAAACACAAAACAAAGCTGATTTAATTGAAAAACTTTTCTATGCACCTTTCCTTTGCCCTTAGTGGATTTTTTTTCAATTTTCATGACATATATACACACTTATATATATATACATTTTTAGGGGGCATTTAGACTAAATGTCCATAAAAATTAAATTTAAAAAAATTAAATGAAAATTAAAAAGTCTTCTAAAGATTAACAAAATCCAATAAAAAGTCTACTGTTCCCCCCAATTAATTGGGGTCAATTAAATTTATCATTTTTTTGGTCAAGGATGTAACTAGAGTAAGATTATTAAAAAATTTGGTATTTACTGTAAAAAGGTAGGTGCGTTATGAAATGCAAGATATACTTATCGCTTTTTTAGCTTCTACGATGAATATATTTGAAGCTCTTGTTGAGCATGCAGCTGCCATTATTCGATTATTTTCCTTGTTTTGACTTTTGTTTTTTTTGGGTCACTATGCAGAAACCTGAAGCTTCCCTCTCGTTGGCCTTCCATTGTGTGTGAGAATTGCCTTTATTCGCTTGAGAAAGATATGCGGGCAAGAGCATTCCATATCATGGACCCGAAAGGCATTATAGAAATGCTTCTTATTTTCCTTGAAGAAAGGGGTGGTGGGGTGCTTATTCCTCCATCCTTCGATGATTCTAAGGTATATTTCATTTAACTGATACTCATTTTTTCATTCAGACAATTGCCACAATATAGTCATCAATAGTATGATTTTTAAGTCATTATATTTCCTATTTGGTTGCAGGACAACACAAACAGGATATTGCCATATCTTGGCATGTGGAAAGGTCATTCTATAACAAAGCGCAGTGGTGTTTATGGATCAACAATTACTGAAGCTGATACAATTGCTGTGCTCGAAATTGACGATGACGGTTGGATAATCCAGGTCTGTGACGGATTTTGTAATTAATCCTTCTTAGAGTGAAAGGTGATAAGTTTAGCTGATAAGAGAATTCTTAAATGATGATGGGACATGTGCCATGAACTCATCAACAACAATCCTTTATGCTGATTATTTAGTGTGCGTTAATTCTTCATCCAAAACCTTGGAGAACTTTAGTTTTTATTTTATTTTTTTCGTTTTAGCTAATCAGCTAAAATGTTTAACTTTGTTGCTGTCCCACTGTAAAACATGCTATGAAGTGGTGGACAGGATAGAATTTCACAGTGGTCATGAGGGGCATAATACTTTTCTTTCATTGGTTTCAAAATGAACAAAAGTAAAAACACTTAGGACACTCTACATTTGTAAAGGTTCTCTTTATTTCCTGTCAGGATGGCCTAGTTGAAACTTTAGATTCATTTAAAAGCTGTTATTTTGGCATAAAATGATGAATAAATAGGATCTTCTATGTCTATTCTCTACAATGTACATAAACTGGACATGTCATTGGTAGAAATGATAGCATAAAATGAAAATTTGTGCAAACCCAGATTTTTTCCTTCTCCTTCTTGATTTTTTCACTATGTCACCAAAATAGCTGGGGCAAGGCCTAGTTGAGTTTAGTTGCTTATCATCATGTAGTAATTTTTAGTTTTTTGGAGGAACAACCAAATGAACTAAAAAATCTAAGAAAATAACTGTTGCACTTGGTGGCCCTATTTAAAACTTATTCTATGTATTTCAGGTTATAGTTCCTTTTCAGTTTGTAAGATCATTGTTGCAACCAAACACTTGAAACATAAAGGAAACTTAGCCTTTTTTCCATTTAATATAAGTGATTCAACATTTACACCTTCCCACCCCCTCCCTCACCAAAACAAAAAGAAATATAAAAATAAGAAATAGTTTTATATTATAAAAGTGTAAAATGAAAAACAATGTATCTTAGCAAGCATCTACCATATGTATCTTTCCTCAAATCTCTGAGTCAGTTTTTTGTTTGGGCCTGGGAAAAATTAAGCCATTTGCCCCTAGTCGAATTTACTGAATGTGGATCGGATTGATTACATCTGTGCTTGGTTTTGTGAAAACTGTCATATCCGATGTTTGCTCTCTTTTTCTTCACCTTTCCTCATGTATTTTTAATAAAAATTTTGTTCTTATTTTAAAAAACAGGATATCACTTCTACATCCAGTGGAGGCAATGTTACTACGAACGTACATTGGACTGGTACCATGTCCAACAACTTGATCAATTTCGATGGCGGCTTTCAGGTGACATTATTGCCTGGGGGCATGTACATGGGATGCCCTTCTAATGTGGCGAAGAGTGTGGCAGATTCCAAGTCATTCCATTTGGAGTTCTGTTGGCTCAAGTCACCTGGCAAGAGACAGAGGCTGGTTCGCACTTACGATATTGAGGGCTTGGCAGTCTCTTCTACTTACTCTTTGGAGAACAAACTGTGAGTGATTCCCGGACCTTACTGTATGTAGTGTACATTTGCATTTTTGGGTCTATTGAACTTGAATCATATCAACTAATGTATTCATTGGTATCAGTTTAGTTGAATGTATCAGATTGGCAATGGGGCCAAATGGTAGTTGCAGACTAAAATCTTGGTCTGTGTTGCAACATCTGCAGTATTTTGCCCTCCCTCATCCCCTTGATATTGGCTTAAAATGCTACAAAAATGCTATCTACTCAAAAAAATATACAAAAATTGATTATGTAGTGTAGGTTTAAACTTAGATGGTGTTTGATAATCCAATTCAACGCTTAAAATTGAATATATTTAGTCCGTTGGTTGGCCACAATTCGTATCACTACAAATTTCATGCATCTCTTAAATATAGGCTAAAATTTTAAGTCACAAACTTCTTACTTTAATTCTATTATTGCTACCATCACCAGCACACCACCACCATCCCTCCATCTTCACCACCACTGTTGCCACAGCCACTCTACGATATCAACACCACTACCTCCACCGTCTCACCAACGCCACGACCACCATGCAACCATCATCATCGCTACGACCACCACTATCACACCACCACCATCACCATCACCATCACCATCGCCATCACCATCACCATACAACCATCATTGTTGTTGCGACCATCACTATCACTATCACAACACTACCACAACCACCACCATCACCGTGACCACCCCTCTACCTCCACCATCGCGTTGCCATTGCTACCACAACTGTCGTCGCCATCACTTCACTACTATCACCACCACCATTACCACCTTCGCCCACACTATCTTACCTCACACAATCATCACCACCACCACTACGCTACCACCACAACTACCATGTCATCACCATCGCCATTTATCGTCACCCATTACCTTACCACCACACAACTATTATCGTTGCTACTACCACTTGCACTCCAACAGACCACTTCCAGTGTGTAGGAAAATTTTAAAAATTAAACTCTATGTGGTTTTCATTTCCAAAATTCACTCTTCAGAAAATTCTACTTTTCGTTTTCTGTATTTTTTTTCACTGAATTTTTAAAATATTTTAAGCAATTTTTTTAATTTTTAGAAACATTTAACATAAATACACTTAAAAAGTTTAATATATGTAAAAAAAAAATCTTTAAAAAATTCACTAATATCAAAAATACAAAAAAAAAACAAAAATTTAGTACATTTTTCGTATTTTTATATATTTATTAATTTTTTAAAATATTTTTTCACAAATATTTTATTATTTAGATACATCTAAGTAAGGTGTATTTAAAAAAGTAAAAAAATTGCTTAAAATTTTAAAAATATTCACTATAAAAAAAAAAACACGAAAGCCACCTTTTGTGACGGCAGAAAATGCCGTCTCAAAAAAGCAGAGTATTTGCGATGGCACCATTTGCCGTCTCAAAAAAGTAGAGAATTTGCGACGGCACAATTTACAAAAAAAAAAAAAAAAAAAAAAACACACACACACACAAAAAACAAAAAATTCAATTTCTAGAAAATTAAATCCAAACACATACAATAATTTTCAAATTCCAACTTTTAATGTATAAAACAAATTTCATTAAATACAACACTTTTCAGTTTAAGTTTGATCAAACATCATCTTAATGCATTTGTGGGTCACATTTAATAAATTTCATAATATAGTGTGTAGATGTAAATTTTATATTATATGATATGAATTACATTCATAATGAATCTGATGCAATAAATTCTGAAGACTTTTTGGAGTTTTTTTAGGGTTAAACACGTAGCATTGATGATGCAAATGGCTACAGCTTTTGGCCTTTTTAGGTGGGGTGGGGGATAAGGTTGGTAGTGTCATTAAATGTTTAGTTGGGCTTGTGACATTGCATCTGGTGCAAAGTATTTGACATTTTTTTATCTAGTCTGAGTAGTTGTTAAAAGTCACATTTTGTGTATGTTTCTTCTTCCTCTTCTTCTACGTACTTATCCATTATTTGAACTGTCACAACTTGCTGCATACCTGGACAAAAATATGGTTGAAAGATAACATAAAAGTAAAAACAAAACAAAAATATGGTCCATTTTTTTTTTTTTAAATATTTTTATGCCCCATTAATAGAGCTCGTTGCTGACGTGACTCCACCAAACAATAACGAAAAATTATTAGAGAATTTTGGAGCATCATTTGATATTATTCATATGGTATTTTTAATTAATAAAAAATTATAACATACGTTAGTTATCCTTAATCTCTCAATTATTTAATAAGGGTGAGTCAGCGCGTTTCACTCGTAAAATTTCTTATTATGTGAATGGTTTGAATTTGTCATGACCTCAACTTGTCCCTAAAAGTTTGGGTCATAACCGGTCAGTAGTCCGTAAATTACCAAAGGCCTCAAACGATCATACAAAATATTACGACTAATGGGGCCATAAACGGAAGCATATAATAATGAGAAGTCCATTGAGTTGTGCCAATCATGAGTAAAATTATAAAGTTAACCTCATAATACCATCACACATCTACATGCCCAAGCAAAGTATAAGTACCATAGGAAATTTTTACATAATATTTACAAACCCGAGACCATAAAAGCAAAACAAAATGAGGTCAATGTGTGGTGTGAGTCAAAGACAAAACTCCATCTCAGGGCATGACTCGATAGGGTTACAAAATGGCTCCTGAAGCTAACTCTAGAGATTTGCTCCATGCTGTGGATTACCTACATGTACATACATAAAATTTGGTGAGCGAAGCTCAATGAGTAATAATACAATATAGCAATGTAAATAAATGATCATAAGGTTCTCACAATTATCCATAATCATATAAACAAACGGCCTTGGGCCCAACATATATCAAAACAGCCTCGGGCCCAACATTTATCAACATATATCAAAACGGCCTCGAGCCCAACATTTATCAAAACGGTCTCGAGCTCAACATATATCAAAACGGCCTCGGGCCCAACATTTATCAAAACGGCCTCGGGCCCATATTGCACATGTCATATAATATTAATGAAGTTCCTTCATTTCGATCAAATGATACATTTAAGTCTAATTCCAAATCACATTAAAGCTTGTTTCAAACCACATAGTATCAAATATTGCTTACCAATCTTTTATGAAACCTTTCATAACTCCAAGTCGTAGCGGAATATCTGAGGGTCTTAATTAGCTTGCTAAATTACCATACAGGACAATCGTTAAAGGTTGACATCATACAGAACGTTTATCGCGAATCATTAGTTTATGCAAAACGTCTAAGACGGATCATAGACAAATAACAATTACTGCGGGTCAAAGTACATTTTCCAAATTTATCATAATCATTACTCAAAAGGAAACTCGTTCATTCTCATCAAAACATTCTTTCAGAAACTTGCCATAACATATTTGCTCCGAAGATTTCAAGCATATTTATCATTTTGAAAACACTCGTCAAAGCACATAATTTATACAAAGCATAGGTTTCACAATTCCAAAGTATTTCATAAGAAAATACTGTTACAAAGAAGTTACTCACAGTGCTTGGTTGGATGACACTCCTTAACGACTCAGCCTGTAGAAACATAATTAAGCATAACATTTCAAAACACATTACTTTCAATTTCAATCGATTTATTCATTACATATCCGTTCAATCATTCCCCATTCTTTAATCCCTCTCAAGTGTTTAATGCTAAACTTCTGTACATGTGATTCACGTATGAAGCTTGTGCCACAGATGTATTTGAAACGATCATAAATGTTAATGACTTAACTTAATGTCTCCTACAACAATCACATATGTTTTCCATTGAAAATATCATGTTTACATATTTAAGGTTCAAGGAAATAGCCAGAAGCGAAAGGGAACTAAGTTAGGGTAGAAAATGGCATGAAACAGTTAAAAGAAAATAAACAACCTTCACTAATTTGAGCATATCTATTTGTGTACTTAGAATTTGGATGTAAGACCACCACCATTGAAAACTAGACTTCTGGGGCTTGAATTTAGGCTTAAGAATCGTCTAAAACGGAGTCCAGATGAGGGAGATATGCTTATTTGAAGTTACCAGGTATAAGCTGAAACAGGACTGCCTACACGTGCACCCAATTTGACCGCTCGTGCGGCCCAAATCCGCTCGAGCGGAAAAATCGGCCGCTCGAGCGCCCAAAGAGTAAAATGAAAACCTCTTTTTTCTTCATGTTCCGCTCATGTGGTTCCCGTGGCCACTCATGCCGTCTGGGAAAAATCAGACAGTCCGAAAATGGTTCAAAGATGCAAACTTCCTAAACTCATTTCCAAGCCCAAATTCATGTAAAAACAACTCAAAAACATGATAACTAAGCATGATACAAGTGTAATCCCTCATTAAACATATCAATCTTGCATCAACAATAATTTCATGGTCTTATCTTTTCACAATTTCATACATTACATACACAAATTCAAAATACATGATCCATGAGCAATCTTTCAACAAATCTTGTTTTCATGAATTATCTAGAGTTTGTTTCATACATTATTCACAAGATTGGACTCCAATCATGCAAAATCAAAGCATTCAAGTTCCAATTTCTTAGTTTAGCTCAAATAAACACATAACCCAAAACCCTAACCCAAAAGAGTTTTAAATCTTCAAATCTCTATATGTTTTCAAGCAATAGATGAATTGTATACAAGATTTCCAAGTAAATTTTCATACCTTAGCTCAATCTAGGTTTTGCCCCTTGAATCCCCACCAAATCTCTTGTTTCTCCTCTTTTTCTCTCTCTAACTCCTCTAGCAAAGCTTTCCCAACCAAAAATCATCCACTTAAGAACTAGAGAGGTATAAATATAATATAGGCTAATTAAAACATTACGAATCGTAATTTTACAAAATTCTATCGTAGGCTCTAAAAATCATGCTAACCACAGATATGAAGTCGGTTTTGGTTTATCATCCCTCTAAGACTTTCAATTTTCAGCTCAAAGTTCTAATTATAATAGATTTTCCTACATTCAATAGATATAAAATCCAAAATCACATATTTCACATACTTAACTTGCAAATTCATATTAAACACATAAACACATGTATAATTAAGCATAATACGGGCTGGGTTATCACAAAATTATTACGTAAACAATATCATATGGTGTTTCGGGATTACTCAATAACTACGCAACTCTAATCGTTGCTGGATCTGTAGTTACATTGTTCAAAAAATAAGGATGATATGAATAAATGATAAAACTTGTTTGGGATAGTCTTTTTAACTTTTTTGACTTTTGTGAAAGAAAAAATAAAATGATTATAGATTGGATGTAATATTTTATCTTATTTGGCTAAAATAACATATTTTGTCCTATTTTAGCCTAAATGGACATCACAACCGGGCCATTATATTTCAGACTCATGTGATAATTTCTAGAGAGCTATTTTTGCCCACTTGCTCCGGTGGTTGTTTTGTCTCAATTATGTTATTGTAGCTTGTCTCATTTTAGGTATCAAAATTTTATTATTTTGTCAAATAAGTTAGTCAATTTTAAGTATGTTTGGTGTAGTTTTTGTAAAATTAAAATTTTATAATTAAAAAAGAAGCTTAAAACACTCCAATAATTATTTGTTTTCAATTTATTTAAAATACTTTTGTCCCATAAATTGTAAAAAAAAAAAAACTGCATTAAACATATTGACATAGATTTTTAAAATTATATATACGTAAATAACTCTAATAAATTGCACTAAACATAATTCTTGTATGGTTTTATTTTTTAATTTACAAAAAATTTAAGTGTACAAAAACTTTTACATAGTAAGACATAAATGTAATAATTTATTTTAAGGTAAATTATAATTTAACCCCCTGTGGCTTGCCTAAAAAACACGGAACCCCCCTATAGTTTCATTTGTAACACTTAAACCCCTTATACTTCATACCAGAGTGCAAAATCCAATGGAATTGTTTATTTAAATAGTACGTGTGTTGTACAACCAGAACTGATGAGTGGAGCACGTTTTTCTGCCCAAAAACATATGACAAATGACGAAAACACCCTTATTGCCATATATATACACAAATCAAGACCCTAATAAGATAGAACCTTAAACTAAAATGTTCCCAAATTGTCCGAAAGTTGCCCATATTTTCCAAAAGTTGAAGATTATTGTTGGATGGCTTCTTCATTTGCTTCCGAAAGTGGACAGTCAAGGACAAATGCTCCAAGACTATGTTATTGTGGAGAGAGATCCCCCTGTGAAGACTTCAATGACATCTAGAAATATGGGTAGAAGGTTTTATGGTTGTGCAAGATATGGAGTAAGCAAAACTTAATTTTTTTTTATTTTTTTTTTTGGAAAAAAAGATTGAATTTTTTTTGAAAAGGAATTTGTGCACTCATATTTTTTTATTATAGGTTGATGTAACTTGTGGCTGCTTTGAATGGGTTGATCCACCCATGTGCTAATGTGGGAGGGAGGTGTTGCCAAGGATGGTTGCAAAGATGAACAGATTGGAGAAGGAACTAGCAAGAAGTCGTAGAAGAAAGAAAATGTTTTGCAAAGCTCTGTTTGGGACATAGGTTTTTTTCTTTATCATGACAATGTTCTGGGTGAAGTTTGCTGGAGTAAAGAAAAATTGGTTGTTATTGGGCCATAGAGTTTGAGAGATGAAAAATATAGTCAAGGTAGAAAATGAAGGTGTACAATGGTTTGTGAAGCAATTGTAATGAAAAATGAAAGTGTAAAATGAAGGAATGTTTTGGTCAAGAAATGTACGCATCTGATGAACCAAAGAAATTGTAATGAAATAATGTTTTGTTCATTACATGTGCAGATACTATTAAGTATAGAAACATATTGGTTCTCATTCTTCTCCTGTAGAACATTTGGTGCCTTCAATGGATCTCTATACTTATTACATGTGCAGATACTATTAAGTATAGTTATAAACTTCTTACTTCTCCAATGATTCACACAAAACAAATGTCAAAGAAAAGACAAGCGGATAAAAAATAAGTGTATTATAAGCTACACAAGTTTCTATTTAAAATATAAGCAACAAAAATTCATCTACTTAACTGTATTGCCCACATATAATATGATGCTATAGAATGAGTGATCTTTCAATACATAGTACCTATTGTAGGCTCCATATCATGTTATGCATAGTGTTTATATCAATTATGTGAAGTACAAAACAATCAAGATATGAACCTAAAGGCAATCCATATCGTTTATACATAAACATGCTTCTTAGGTAAAAAATATAAAATCACATTAATGGAAGCTTTTAGAGTAACCAGTTGTTAAAAGGGTATTATAATAGGAAGGTCATTTGCTTCAGTTCACATTACTTTAATACAAGCCACAATTCAACCCACTGGGCTTCTCAAAACATAGTAAACTAAGATACTAGCCAGTTTCAAATTCAAAAACAAATTGGTACAAGCCACTTAATAGTTTAACAAGTTGAAAACTACTCAAAACACAACAAAAGCTGAGTTGTAGCTTTCTCTGCCATCATGCTTTCCCTTTCCCTTTGTCAGTTTGCATCTGAGTTGTAACTTTTGCAGACCCACCTCCTCCTCTACCTCTTCTAATGAAGCTACCTCCCAATGCAGATCTAGACATAACCCTGTCACCTCCAATTGGTTCACCCCTTCCTTTGCCATAATTAGTGGGTTGCAAAATAACAAACACAAGTATCCAATTACATTTTGTCAAATATTATAAAAGCAAATGAACTTGCAAATGAAATTTGACTATACCTGAGATAAGGAGTAATCAAATTCTGGAGAACTGTATTGAACTTTACTGGGCTGCAATGATAATGGTCCAAGTAAGCAATTATATGTTGTCAACTATGTCAAAAACCAAATGACACCCATAGGAGAGAGAGCTTACCTAAGATGCTGATGTCTTGCCTGTCATACTTGGAAATTCTTCAAATGTGTGGCCAATTCTAGTGGGCTGCAATGATGTAACAAGTATGCAAATTAACAATAGAACTAGGCTGCAATGATGTAACAAGTATGCAAAGTGGACAGATCTTACTTGAGATGAGGATGTGTTGGCTCTCCTACTAAGGAGCTTCCTTCTGGGCTGCAATGATTTATATATGTATTAAGTCATTGTTGTGAAATGTATTGCAAAATGAAATGAAATTGGAGGTTCAGGTTACTTGATATGTTGTTGCTGTTGCTGTTGCTGGTGTTGATGAAGCAATTGTTGTTGCTGTTGCTGCTAAAAATGGTTGTTGCTGGCTACTTCTTGTTGGCTTAAAAAGCTTAGACTTGGGATGGACAAGACCTTTACAAGATCTCTGGTTGTGACCTTTCTGAAGACATCTAGCACAAACAATAAACCTATGCTGCCTTGAAACTCTGACAGGGTTTATTGGCTCATCTATACCCTTCTTTCTCATTTTTGGTGGTCTCCAAGGCTGCTTTCTACACAATGGAGGAGCCACTGCTGGCAGTCCTGTTTCAACCCAATCATGCTGGCCTGGAACAGGGTGCATCATTAAGTTGTAGGCTACAAGATAATGTTGCTTACTGTAATAAGGGTGCACATAGTCCTCTGGCTTCTCTCTTTGAACAAATATGGAACTTACTGCACGTTTACAAGGTATTCCAGTCAAATCCCACATCCTACAACTACATTTCCTTTCCTCCAAATCAACAATGTGTATGGTATCACCACAATCTACTTCAAATTTTCTGTCACCACAATAGGTTGCAAAACCATTCCTAGATTGCACTTTCAGTGCGTCTAAATCTTTGACAATGTTGGGACAAATTTCAACAGTGTATTTTTCCATCCTTTCCTTCTTGATTTGGATCCTGTGCATTACCCTCCTTCTAATCCATTCAAGCATGCTGATTATGGGTTTGTCCCTAACTTCCAAGATGTTGTTATTGAATAACTCACACATGTTGTTGACCAATGTATCACACCTACTTCTTGGGCTAAAATGGGACCTAGTCCATAAAGTAGGATCTATTTTCCTTAGCCAATTGTATGCTTTCTCTTCTGGATCCATCTCCTTCAACTTGTTCATGTGAAATTCAAATTCCCTCACAGTCCCAGCTGCAGGTGCCTTCCACAATAGCTCCCTCAATTCAATCCCTTTGAACTTTGCTCTGAAATTGGAGTAAATATGCCTCATACATAATCTATGTTCCACATTTGGCATTATTTCCTCAAATGTTGCTACTAACCCCTTCTGTCTGTCAGAAATGAAGACCCATCCCATGTCATCAACACTATCAATATCATCCATGAGTTTTCTTAAAAACCATACCCAAGAATCTTTACTTTTTTATCTCAACAGCTGCCCATGAAATAAGAAAATAGTTGTTGTTCCTATCCCTTCCAAGTGCACATAATAATTGTCCACCATAGATTCCTTTCAAATGACACCCATCCAATTCTATAATGGGCCTGCATCCTCCAACAAATCCTGTTCTAAGGGTTGCAAACCCAACATATAACCTCTGGAAAACTGGGGGCAATTCTAAGTTGGGCCTAAGCATGTCTTCATTGGGCCTATTCACCACTACTTGCATTACACTGTTTGAATTATGCAGCCTCACTATTTCACAGTAATCATACACCTTTGCATATTGAACCCTTTGATCTCCTTCAATAACTTCTCTTGCTTTTTTTTTAGCCCTATACAATTGAGGCCTATTAACATCAACCATTAACTCCCTCCAAACTGTCTTCTGTATAGGCCTAACTTTGATGTTAGGGTCATCCCTTAACTTGTTCATATACTTGTGTGCCAAGTAAGTTAAGTTCACCAAGTGATTATTATATGACCTTCAACATGCAATCTCCATCCACATCCATGCTTGCACACTACAATAATCCTAGAGTTATCATTCCTTATGTACTTGATGTCATAACCATGTTGGATATTCCACTCTTTCATTGCCTTTCTAAAAATTTGAGGGGTGACAAACTTAATTCCAAGTTTCAGTTGTGGCTTCTTCATGTCTACTTCTTCAATGAACTCAGGATATTTATCTTCACATTCTTCATCTAATGAGTTATGTACACTATGTAAATTTTCATCCTCAGGATCAAAATACCACCCTTCATTTGCCTCTTGATCACATGAAGGAGGTTGCCTCTTTTTTTTCTTTACAGTCTCCCTTGGTGAGAAAATATCATCATCTTCTAGCCCCTCTAAACCCTCATTCAACCAGTCAAGTTCATCACTTTCATAGTCTTCATATTCTGAACCATTATCAACATTCACATCATTCATGTAATCAGGATCATCACTATCTTCTTCATTCCAAGCTCTGTTATCCATTTCCTCATCTCTGGCATCTTCATCTGCTGTTCCTTCATCCCCATCTCCATTATGCATTTCCTCATCACCTACATCTTGCATTCCATCTCTACAATCCATCTCTTCTTCACTTATACTTTCCATGTCATTCCAAGTTAGTGTCTGCTTAGCACTAACTAGTACTCTTGGGGGTACCAAATGTTTCCCTTTTGGACTTACCACTTGTAATGGGTCCTGACCCTTCTCCACATATAATTGAATCACATCTAACCTTCATACTCACATATCATGGTATATACATCAACATCTTCTTCAATTATTGTCAACCCATCATCCAAACTTTTTCCAGATTTCCTATACCACAAAATAGAAATACTATACACATCTATTTTCATCTCCTTCAAGATGGTATGAATCTCAATAAAAGATAGTCTGTCAGGATCAACATCATATATATATATATATATATATATTCCACTTTTCCTTGTTTATAAGCAATATTAGGAGGCATACTGAAGTACCCATTATAGTTGATCTCAAAAATCATTTTTTTTTTACCTCACTGCAAAAAACAACAAAACTTCACAATATTACATTACAAAACTCAAACTCATTGGAACCACATAACAACAATCATAAAAAAATCTAAAGTTAACATCATAAAAAAATACATGTTGTTTATGAACCTCTATGCCCCACCCCACTTTAACCAACATCCAAAAAACATAAAGTAATTAAAGGCATGAATACTAAAGTATACAAAAACAAATATGTGAATAAAAAATACTCAAAGTTAACATCATGAAAAATATTCCCCATTACTTACTTATGAAGCTCTATACCCCACCCCACTCCACTTTAACCACAATCCCCAAAAATTAAAGCAATACAAGCATACCATGCCTAAAACATTACAAGTTTTGTGAATCGAAGTCAACATACACTCAGTTATGAATTAAAATTAGGGAAAATCAACATCTAAGGATCAAAATAAACTAGGGTAAACAACACATACCTAATCTAGTAATGGCGTTCGCGATATGATGGTGAAATTGATAATGAAACCCTAGTTCAATCCAATCAACCACAGCGAGAGAGAAGATAGAGAGAGTGGGGGGAGAGAGAGAGAGAGAGAGAGAGAGCAAATAGAGATGCGAATACTGGTGTTAGTCAAATGAAACGAAACGACTGAGAGATGTAAAATATCTAGGGGCATTCTTGACTTTTTACAACTTCTGTTACGTCCATTGAATTTTGCACTCTGGTATGAAGTATAAGAAGTTTAAGTGTTACAAATGAAACAAACTATAGGAGGGTTTCGTGTTTTTGAAACAAACCATTGGGGGTTAAATTATAATTTACCCTTTATTTTATATTTGTGTTCCATTTTAAAAAAATCTTATTCATAACAAAATGGAAAATGTTTGATTGCTATAAATTCTGTGGTTCAAATGGATCGAAAATGTCAAAACGATGTCGTTTTGACATTTTCAGAATTGTTTTGTACTCAAAATGACGTCATTTTAATATTTTCGAACCATTTAAGTCATAAAATTTGTGACCACCAATCATTGCCCCTACTAAAATTGTATCACAAATTTTGAATTGTCCATGGAAATAGATCAACACGAAAACGCCACGGCCATACATAAGATCATTATGACAATAGACATACATCATGTACGTGTCGTGAAAATGTGTCCATCGCATTCTTGGACAGGGCAGGACAGGCTGTACATGAGATGTAATAATTAGATTTGAATTAAAAATGTTTCAGCTAGCTATTAAATTTTAAAAGGTCATAAAAAATGCTTGGTATCTGTTTGTTTGTTTGTTTTGTTTGTTTTGTATTTTTTTTTTTTTTTTTTTTTTTGTTTTCGAGGCAATTAGTGATGTATTTGTAGGATTCACTCATGTATGTGTGAGATTTATACCATCAATGATTGAGATCTAAAGAAAATTGTAAGAATTACAAAAAAAAAAAAGGTCTCGATCATTATTGAAAGGTGATTTTGACAAAAATTAAAGTATTTTCAATAGAAACTTTTTGGGGGGAAATTAGGGGGGGAATACCTATATGATTTGATCATTTATAATAAAATAAATCTTAAATTTTTTATTTTGTCAATTTAAATTTTAATATTTTGATTTATTTTTAATCTAATTCATTTATCTATTTTTATTAAGTAAAATCGACGAAAAAAAAATATTTTAGTGATTTAAATTGACAAAATTAAAAAATTATAATTTATTTTGTTTCAATGGTCAAACAATGTGAAATTTTTTTTTTCCCATTCACCCAAAAATAATTTCTCCAATTTTTTTTGGCGATTGTGAGAATTGAACTTACACACTCTCCTTACAATGACAACTTTTATCATAATTTCACTATTAAGGAGTTGAATTCAAAATCTCTCTTTAATAGAGATTTGATGACCAAAAAATTAGCCACACAGGTTACAACCCTTTTGCTTCGAATTGATTTTACTTAACACTTGCCTTAAACTAACTTTGTTTATCATGATCACATATCTACCACTAAAACTATATGTTCATTTTGATGAAAAATATTTTTTATACATTTAAAAATGTGAAAGGAATAATTCAAACTAAAATTTTATTTCTACATCTACTACCATCACCCAATCACCTTACCACCATCGTAACCACCTCCACCAATAATATGCTACTTGTTATCGAAATTGACCCCTGTATATATATTTGTTTTTTATCTGCATGGGTATCCAAAGCCATCATTGTACCAAGTTGTGATGGTGGGACTAGAAGCAAGCGCCACTTGGGTTGGAGGTAGATAGCTTAGGCTTATTATTATTGTAACTTGTTGAATGAATTGGCAATAAATGTTGTTATGCACAAGGACCGTACACACACGGCACCAGAGGTGATAGACAAGACACGACTCCACCTTTGTCTTTCAGGGTCCCATTTTATATACAACAATGATTCATCCCCTTTTTCTCCCCACCCCCTTTGACCCCCTCTCTCTCTTATTGGTTACATTTTCTTTTTCTTTTTCTTTTTCTTTTTTTTCCTACTCCTCCAATCACCACCCACCACGTGGCAAAGGGGGGTGAGGGGGTGACCCCAAAAAGGGATCCCAAGCATTATTCTTTTATATACTCTACTCACAAATTCAGTGTATATTGACACTCATATGAGTTATTTATAATTTTTGTTTTTTTTTTAAAGAATTTGCATGAGACTATTTGGACTGTTAAAAAATTAGAAATATTAATTGTGCAAAACCCGAAGATGTAATTTTTGCTTACTTCTTAGAAGATAAAAATAATTTAAATAAGTTAAAAAATGTTGATTATCTGAAAATTAGGAAAAAATATTTTTATTTTCACTTTCTAATTATCAAACTTTTAATCTAGAATATCTATTATATCTATTCTTGTCCTGGGTGGGTGTCGAGGGGGGGGGTTGGGTGATCGCTTGGGTGAGTAATTACTACAAACAGTTAGCATGCATTGGTTTTGTGTTGTTGGTACTACTAGTAGTACTACGACTTCATCAGTGTGGGTGCTCAATTGCTCCCCCACTAACAGAGGCCGACTCGATGATGTCTGATGTCTGCAGGCCCAACAACCCATTTGAATTTATTGTGGATCCCATACCATGCATTCTCACACTTCACATAATACTCAAAATAATCTCATCTCCCACTTCAATTAAATCCTCACCAACAATTACACCATCATAACTACCACCACTGCTATAGTCCCTTTGTAGAGGGTATATTTGTCCCACTATAATTGGGGTGTTTTGGGAATCATGATAAAAGTCAATTTTTTGGCTTTTTAACTTTTTTTTTAGTCAAAAAAAGTCAATTTTTTTACCAAAAATAATCCAATTTTTTGCCAAAAAAACCACCAAAAAAGTTAAAAAATCGAAAAGTCAACTTTTTACCAACTTTCCAAAACACTACTGAGTGTAAGATGAACTTACGATTTTCTCAATTTTTTGCAAAACAAGTAAAATCGTTAAAGGCTTCCCGATAGGGTCCAGCTTCTGTCTAGTCCGGGATCGGACTGGACCGTACTATTGGGCCCGTGGGGGCCCATCACGGGTCCCATTTTGAAAATCTGAACCGTTCAATGTGTAAAACTCGTCGAGTACTATATGTCTGTAAAAAATCACATTGATTGAATATCGATAGTTATGTGATCAAATCAGTTTTGTATTAAAAAAAATGAACGGTGAAAAAATTAACAATTGATAAAAAAAACAATGAGGATACTATACCCATATATTAGTGTTGGCGGGAGACTGATCTAATGGTCAAGTCAATACTTGATTAGGAATTCAGAAATAATATTTGAAAAATATTAGGGACCCTAAATGTTTTACTAACATTTTTACCAAATATTGTGGGATCCAAGTCGATCTCATACCCATATAAGACATTTAGTAAAAATATTAATAAAATATTTAATATCCCTAACATTATTCGTAATATTTTTGTCTTGTTGTGTACCTTAAATATTATCTCTCTTCCTATTCAACATGGTTGTTCGGCCGAAATAGGCTTCCTCGTCTAATCTACGTTTATGTGTGGGCGTCTCTTTTGGGCCCAAAAGAGATTGGAAGTTGGTTTCAGTGCTCTGAACTTGTCTTCCAATCCTACTTAGGGTTGGTTTGGCATCTACTATATAATCTATCTTTTTATCTTTTTTTCATCACATCACCTCTCTATTTTTCTGCATATCTTTTCGTAAAAAGACAAAAAATACACTTTTTTAGGACATTCCAAACCAACCCTTAATTAGGCTAGTTTGGCTTATGATTTTTTTTATTTTCCTTACACAAATTGTGTTGTTTATTTTGTTAAAATTTTATTTTATGATAAGACTAATTAAAATAGCTAAAATACTCCAAATATCTCCATTATTGATGGCGATCAAAGAAGGCAATGGAGCATGGGATGTAGCTAAGCACTTTCCTTTCCTTTTCTTTTCTTTATTTGTTTTTTTTTGTTTTTTTTTTTTTGTAAAAATTACAATTGAGATCTCGTTTGGAAATAGGTTTTTTTAATAATTTTTTGATTTTTTGGCTAAAATATGATGTAAAAAAATTAGTATGTTTGTGATGACTTTTTAAATTTTTACGAAAAGATGTGCAAAAAGTAGAGAAAAAATGAAAGGTATGTTTGGTTTGTGTTTGAGAGATGTGTTTTAGAGATAAAAAGTACTAAAAGTTGTTTGGTTTCGTTTTTTTCGAAAGATGTTTTGAAAAATTATTTTGAGAGAAAGTTTTAGAAAAAGTGATTGATTTGATGTGTGTGTGAGAGAGATTTGTTTGGAAAACTTGTTTGATTTACAAGTTTTGAGAAATTTTTTTGAGAAAATTTGTTTGGTTTGATTACTTTTAAAAACTTATTTGTAGAGAAAATTTCCCAAAAATTTTTCAGAAATGCAAACCAAACGAATCCGAAATCTTTAACTTTTTGGTATGAGTTGTTGGCATTTTGATTTTTTTAATAACTTTTTGACTAAAAAAGTCACTTGCCAAACGATGCCTTAGTGTACTTTTAAATAAATAATTATACATTTATTAAAAAATTATGATTTTAATTATTAATATTAATAAAATTTATCACTTATTTATAATTATTTTTTTAGAAGTACATTGGTCTGTAATTTTGGTGGTGTTTGGCAAGAAGGTTTGGGTGGATTTGGGGTTAAAATAGCCACAAAAAATAAAATAGGCTATTTTAGCCACAAAAAATAAAATATCAAATCCAACCCATAATCATTACAATCTTCTCTCACAAAAAAAGTCAAAAAAGTCAAAAAGTCAAAAAACCCTTCCCAAACCAAGCTAAAATAGCTCAGGCTAAAATAGCCAAAAAATTAAAAAATCAACCCACTTTCCAAACGGAGGCTTTATTTTATTTATTTATTTATTGTTTTGTTCTGTTTTTTTAAAGAAATGGCCAATGTTGTGGTCATGTCATGCTAAGCCTACGGTTGCCCGTCCATATGGGCAAGAAGTCAATTGGACGGGTAAGGACAACTTGCCATCTTCAGCCACAAAAGGCCATGACACCCATAACTCCAAAAATAAATAAAACTTAAAAAATGAAGGTTGAGGTCCACCTACGTGTTGTCAACCTTATTTAAAATAAATCTTAATTGTAGAATATATATAATTCTTGTTCATAAATTTTTATATTTTAATTTTGCTTAATATTTTTTATATTTCAGGATCAAGCTTAACAAATTTTGTGTCAAAATATAATTTAAAAAGTATTTTTTTATTATTTTATGTAATCATTTTTTTTAAATACATCATTTATTAGACTCTATGTTCTAACTCTATTTAATTTTATTTATTTTTAATTATCTCTTCTCTCAAACAACATTATTCAAAAAAGTCAAAATAGTAGAATCAAATATCTGAAAAAGGATAAATTATCGAATAGCTAATAAACACTAATCAAGTAACAACTACAAATAATAATTAGCCATTAAGATTTAATTTGTTAAGACAAAATTATTAATATTTTCATGATTTACTTGTTATATTTAATTAAAAAATAATAATTTTTTGAGACTGATATGGTGCTATTAGAGTATTTTCAATCCTTACTATTTTTATTTTCACCAAATTTGAATGAAAATTTGGTTAAAAGTTTGATTTGGCACTCTAATCCTTATTTTTATGTCAAATATTTTTTAACCTTTTTTTTATAAAGGAAAATATATCTACAATCCTTATTCTTTCTAAAATTTTATCAAATTTAAAAAATAAAATAAAAATAGACTGTTGAAAATTTGGTAAAGGATTTAAACCAGCTTTAATTTATGGTCCATTTATTTAGGCAAAAAACATTTTTTAACGAAAATATTTTTACATAAAACTTTTTTTAAAAAAAATAGTTTAGAGAAAATATTTTTTTATGTTTGATAGAGGTGGTGATGGGTACTAGTGTAGGTGAGACTAGTGGTAATAACATTATGATATTGATAAGCATTTAGTTTACAAAACGTTTTCATCTTTTAAAAATAAAAAATATTTTCAACCTAAATATGATTATTTTTTGTTAACTATGATAAACGTCCAAAGAAAAGTAAACGTTAGTAAAAAATTTGTCACTCCATTGATTTAAGGGTAAATTATATTTATATTTTTTAAGATTTAGATTTAATACATATCACCTTCTGATGTTTGAAAAATTATTCTAACTCGTTTATTATTGTAATTATTTAGACAGAATTAATGTTAGTATTAAAAAGACATTGAATTCATACATTCTCTTATTTTATTTTATTTTGCTTTACTTTTTCTAACTTTATTTATTTATTTATTTCCTTTGCTTTACTTTGTTTTTTTAATATAATTTCTTCCTTTTTTTTGTCAGAAATTATTACCTTTTATATAAATATGGGATTTGTGAAATAAGGCTGTTAATTACAGAAATGAAAATATAATTTTTCAAATGTCAAGAAGTGATATATATTAAATTTAAATATTAGGAGATATCAGCATAAATTACCTTTGATATATTAATTAAATTTAAATTTAATAAAAGAATTAATGAAAGATTAGAAATGATCCAATAAAAGTGTGTTAAAAAAAAAAAATTTACAGCCGGGAAAGAGAAAGAAGTGGAGTAGAGTGGCGCCAGAAATGATCTTTATCAGAGAGTTGAGGATAAGACGCAACCGCAATCAATTCAAAGCCCAACCACCAACATTTTATATATATATATATATATATATGTCACTTCCACGCACTGATAGACGAAGAATCCATACATTCACACACACTGACGATCGAACCAAAACCCAATTCCCAAAAAACTTCCGTGTAAAACCTCCACAGATCTCTTCCTCCCGTGTAGAGAGAGAAATGGCTAAGACCGACAAGGTCTCAGCGCCTTCACGGCCTACGATCATACTCCCACCTCGCACCTCCTTCGACTCCATCTTCGCCGGTTTGAGCCCTGGTCCGATGACCCTCGTCTCGAGTTTCTTCTCCGACAGCTACTCCGACTCCGACTGCCCTTCCTTCTCTCAGCTCCTGGCCGGAGCCATGGCTTCCCCTGTTGCTGCCGATGGTGGAATCCCAACTCTGCCCAGCTTTTTAGCCAGTAGTTTGTCGAACGAAGTGGATTCTGAAGATGCGTGTGAACAGAAATTAGGGTTTAAGCAGAATCGGCCAGTGAATTTGGTGGTTGCTCATTCTCCCCTGTTTATGGTTCCTCCTGGGTTGAGCCCTTCTGGGTTGCTTAATTCGCCCGGTTTCTTCTCTCCACTTCAGGTGAATTGCTTCTTCTTCTTTTTTTCTGTTTTTTTTTTTAATATTTTTTATATTTTATTTTGGGTGTGTGGTTAAGATATGCAAAAATTTTGGTTCAAGTGTTGATTTGGGTTGTTTCATGATATATTAGAACTTGGAAACAATATAATTTTGGTGGTTGTCAAATTTGTGACTTAACTCACCCGGTTTCTTCTCCCCTCTTCGGGTGAATTGCTAAATTCTATTGGGTCTTTTTTATTATTATTATTAATATATATATATATATATTTTTTTTAAGGATATGCAACATTGTTAGTGAAAGTTTTGATTTTGGTTGTTTGGTGATGGTGTAGTGACTCTCAAATTTGTGACTTGTGAAGGGAGGAATCTTTGTATGCTTAAAATTCAAGTTCTTTACATAAATTTTACCAAACATAGTCTGGTTTTTAAGATACAATTAAGAAAGGATTAATTTACGGAGTCCATTGCTCCAACAAGAGATTGGTGCTATATGTATTCCTGTATATTTTGTAGCTGTGGATGTGTTTGTACTTTGTGCAGTATTCGTGTATACAAAGGCTTGTTTGCTTTTCTGATGTTCAATTCATTACTCTAGTGATTTGGAATCGCTTAAAATACCATTTGAGGTTGAGTTTTTACACATTTATTGTTCTTAACTTATCACTTGGATTTGAAATTGCTTTGTGATCAAGTGAGTGGTTCTTGTGTTGTGCCTTGCTGCGGTAAAGCTTTTGTATTTTGTTTTTTTGTTGGCTGTGACTGTGAGATATCACATTGTTGAAGATGAAATATATTGCTGGGACGTTTGCTGAAAAACATCTGCAGTGGGCCATTGGTTTGGCATTGGTGGAACGTGTTGGATGGAATTTGCGGAAAATGTGGAAATTAGTCATGTTTCGGAAAATCTTGAAAATACCCATGATTTATCATGTTGCCGTAGTGGGTGTATAAGACATTGTTAACACATCAGTCGGTGCACCTGAAGATGATAAACTGTTCCAATTTCGACCTGCGTCCAGATCTATGAATTTTATGATGTTGTAGTTTCTTGTATTTACCCACAAAGCTTCATGCATGAGACTCACCCCGCTTAAATAAATGCAATTTATAAAGCAAAAGATTTGAATTCAGTATTCATACCAATCTAAGTACTTTCCTTTCTTCTTGTACACAGTCATGTAAATGAAGATATGTATTATCTCTGGTAAATCAGGATATTTTGTTGTGAACTTACCAGGATTGGTCATAAACTTGAATCCAGGGATGATATGGCTAGCTACCTAGGCCATCTTATAGGATTATAAAGGCCATCTGAATTATATGGACGAGACTGCTGGTGTTGATTATGGAGCTTGGCATGTCAGTTCTGCATAATTAAATTAGGAGTTTGGCTTATAGATGCATTGAGTAATCATTTCCCGCTCCTTGAATTCCTTGCAGAGCCCCTTTGGAATGACCCACCAGCAGGCCCTAGCACAAGTTACAGCGCAGGCTGCATTATCTCAATGTCATTTGCATGTCCAAGCCGAATCTCAACCTTCTTCACTAGTAGCTTCTGAAGAATCTTTGAACGACCATCAATCCTTTGCTTCCAACACAACCATACAACAACAGGTGCCCACTGTGATATCAGAACCTGAAAGTTCCGTAATTGAATCATCAGAAGTTTCTCAACCCAATAGGAAATCACTACCTCCTTGTGCTGCTGTTGACAAACCTGGGAATGATGGCTACAACTGGCGAAAATATGGGCAGAAACAGGTCAAGACAAGTGATCATCCTCGAAGCTACTATAAATGTACACATCCCAATTGTCCAGTTAAGAAGAAGGTTGAGCGTAATTTTGATGGGCAGATAACTGAGATTATCTACAAAGGCCAGCACAATCACGAACTTCCGCAATCTAATAAACGTGCAAAAGATGGTATTGATAAGAACTCAAATACAAACTCTCAGGTAAGGCGTGAACTTGGTGTGCAGGGTGAGACAGAAATGAGCAGGGAAAATGAAACTTTTCATTCAGTTCCTAGGAGGGTCCAGGCGTCTACCCAACTGACACCGATACAGTTATCAGGATCAAGTGATCATGTTGAAATGGGTGACATTGAAATGAGACTAAATCAAGCCGACAATGATGAACCAAATCCCAAGAGAAGGCAAGTTTAATGCCTAGTATTTTTTTTCTTGATGTCAATACTTTTCTCTTACCTTTCACAGTTCTTATTGAGATTTCTTTGTAGTATAGGAACAAAGAGGTCGGGACATCTGAAGTAACCTCGTCGCATAATACAGTCACAGAACCCAGAATTGTTGTGCAGACAAGGAGTGAAGTTGATCTCTTGGATGATGGGTACAAGTGGCGAAAGTATGGGCAGAAAGTGGTCAAGGGCAATCCTCATCCAAGGTGGTAACTTTGTCCATATGTTGGTGTTAATATTGTCATACAGGAATAATTTGTGCTTCGAAATATTGTTTAATTATACAGGAGACCTGAAGTCTTCATTTTCTTGTGTTTGCCTTTGATGATTGCATCATGCTAGTTGATTCTGAAATTCTTTTGCCAAATAGTTTCCCATCACAAACTTTATGATTTTGACTTCTTTGGCCTCTTGGTGGAGCACTAATAGATGTTTTGATATCCTTATTGTTTATTTGACAGTAATTAGATGCACCGACCAGTTCTGAGAACTCTACAACCATTTGGGAAAGAAATCAGTTTACAGCCAAGATAAGCATTAGAATTGGGCTTAAGTTGGGGTATAAAAGCATAACTGGATTGATTGTAATGATCTAGCTGAGATCGTCCCACTGCCATGAATTTTAGTAGAGATGTCTTCCGCTCAACGATAAATTTAATGAGTGGTTTAAATTTTCCCACTATAGAAATTTGTATATGTTCAGTAAGGTTCAGAAACCTATGCTCTGAGATTGTTCACCAGTCATCTGTCCGTCGACTCATAAGAGTATCACTCAACTGATCCATTTGTGGCCTTATATCTCTCTTTTTTTCTTTTTTGCATTTACCTTGTATGGTCATCCTCCACACTAACAAAACATTGCTTTGTTAGTCGATAAGGCTTTATTTTTCTCTTTACCTGTTTGAATTACACTCGTGAGACTCTCAATGCAATTCTCCTCTATACCGTGTTGCCTTGACAAACAAATTTTGTTCCATTCCAAAATGTCAAAAGTTCCCATTCCTTGGTTACTGTTTTAGTTTCTCAGATCTCAATTATTGGGATTTAAATTATGCTTGTTTTTGCGGGAATGAATAGTTTAAAAATAGTATATAAGTGACATTCTCAGGTACATAGTATCTGGGTCAGACCCCAGAGCTAACTGGCAGTCTCTGACTTTTACAATTCAAGCGTGGTATGATTTTGCTGTGTTGTGCTTTCTTCTGTTCTGCATGATTGCATATTGTTGGAATTTCCTGTTATCTGTATTGTATTGTTTCTGAGCTGTTCTTGTTCTGATGTCAAATTCTATTTATACCCTTTGCGGCCAAAAAATTTAAAGAACAGAAAAAGAAAGACACTGAGTTTACTTTCTGTGAGAGTAATCCCTGAATTCTATATGCAGGAGTTACTACAAATGCACTTATGCAGGATGCAATGTTCGTAAGCATGTCGAGAGGGCTTCAACTGACCCCAAAGCTGTCGTAACCACATACGAAGGGAAACACAACCATGATGTCCCTGGAGGTAGAAAGAGTGGTTCCAACACAGCAAATAGTAACACATTGCAGTTAAAATCACATAAGGTGGTGACTAAGAAGCCTGCTCTACTTGAAGAAATGGATTTTGGAAACAAAGATGAAAGGCCGGTTCTTTTACAGCTAAAAGAAGAGCAAATCATAGCATAAACTTCTAAACAAGATTGATTGGATTTGAAGTGACTTGCCCATTCACATGGTATAAGATGGAGTGATCGGGAGAGAGAGCAATTATTTGAAAGCTTGTTGTGAAGCCCACAAGAATGGTTTGCTGCGTGTATAGTAAATGCATTGGCTGCTATATGTATCTGCACTGTATTGTGTTATGTATATGTGAAATCTGAGCAGGGGTTGCTGTATGTATAGTAAATGCGTCGCCTGCAATATGTATCTGCACCTTAATTTCTTCTGTATGTGGGATATTAGGCCTTGTGTGTGTGAGTATTTGTTCAGACTTTTGCAGAGGCATGGATATAATGTTTGAACAAGATGTTAAGTTTCTCTCTTTCCTTGTTCATTGCTTCTTTATTTACATTTAACCTTTGTTTATAATATATTGTATTTGATATTTATGGTGATTGTTATTATATATATACTTTAATTACATGTATAAATAATAGGCAAGAAACCCAACAATGGATGTTCTGTCTTCGTGTCACCAATTCAGTCATAATTATTTGGTTACATCTCAAATTCTATATTTTGAGATTTCTACATATTTTAACGATTACAAATAAATTACTATCAAGGCAGAAGGTCCATTGTTGTAAGTAATTATTGTTATTACTTAGTTTAAAAAATTAGAATTTTGTTGATTTGTGTTCATCAGACACGTTTTAAAAAACTTTTAAAATATTATATTAATATCCTAAAAATTGTTCAGTTGATTTTCAGAATTTATTTTCTGAAAAAATTTCAAAATATAATTTGACAACATATGATTTTCTATTTACTAGGAGGAAATAATTTAAAAAATTAAAATTAAAATTTGTGTTTCTTATATTTATTTTTATCAAATTCTAACTGTTTTAAAAGAAAAATCAGAAAATAATTTTGTAAATTCAACCAATCCTCTGCCACAAATTGTACAGTTAGTTGTTGAGCAGTTAGGCTGCACCCGCCACTGAACCCTCTTCCCAACGGTTAGATTTCTCTCTCTCTCTCTCTCTCTCTCTCTCTACTGTATACCTTTTCTTTTGCAAAACTGAAGAAGAGAATTGCAAAAGATGAAGCAATTTGGACCCACGAATGTCCTCTTCCTTGGATTTCGGAACTATTTTCTTCTGACAGACAAACACAAACACAAACACAAACCCCTTTCCTTGAAATCCTCGATCCTCCGCAGATATCGCAAGACCCAAATGAAAAAGAGCGAGAATGAGAAATTCACTGACACCCCATCAACTCGTTACACCCAATTTCCTCTCCTTTTTTGCAGGGGGTTACCCAAATCCATTTTGGTCCCTCTAATGCTTCTAATCTCCATACCCATTTTCAGCTAAATGTAGGGGGGGATTCAATCCCCAATCTGTTTGACCAATTCCCAATTCCCAATCCCCCACCATTTGGGGTCGATCTGGGTTTTCACCAATTCGAGATCGGCCTTTCATGGGTTTTGGGGTTTAATGGGTTGCGTTAGCTCGAAAAAGGCCAGGTCGCCTGATTCCGATTCCACCTCCGCCGCCAATGCTCGTCGCAATGTTTCTGTTTCGTATTTCGATTCGGCACGAGCTGGGTTTGGGGAATTGGAGAAGATAAAGGAGGAACCTGAGAAGGAGAATGAGGAGGAATTGGTTGACAGAGGTGGTAAAATTCCCATTTCCAAGTCCACAAAGAAGGGCAATTCTGACAAAAAAGCTGTTTTTAGTTTGAGATTTGGAAGGTATACCGAAGCTGAACATGTCGCTGCCGGTTGGCCCTCTTGGCTCAGCGCTGTCGCCGGTGATGCCATTAATGGATGGTTGCCTTTGAGGTCGGACTCATTTGAGAAATTGGACAAGGTAGTGATTGCCCCCAAAGCTTATGCATTTCTCATTTCAACATCTTTCATGCTTTGATTTGTTTGTGTTGTTTATTTTATTTTGTCGTAATTGAGTGTTTGATTATCGAGCTTAATACAAGTCCTAAAAGACAACAAGTCTAAAAGACACGCGTTTGTTTGTGGAAGTTGTTGGAGTTTTTGTAGTTGCAATAATTTCTTTCTTGAATCAAGGTTGGGTTGTTGGTGTTAACACACACAATATAGGAGCCTATTAGAAGCCAAAAAAATAAAAATAAAAAATTGGTAAACATCTCACAACTCAAGAGACTAAGTAACATTTCCTCTACCACCTTTGCCTTGAGCCAACTTTAAGTCGTTGAGTTTATCTTTTACGCTGTTCTTGGTCTCGTTTCTTGAAGTGGGGAGCTTCCAACCGTGTCTTCACATTCAAAAGTGGCAAGACAAGAATCAATACACACTAAATGCATAGGACCTTATAGCGGGAGCATCTATTCGAAGCCCATTACTCATCCCTTCTTTGAACAATCATAGTTTTTAGTTTTCCCGGCATCCTCTTTGGAGGGATCTCCACCCAATCATTAGCTAGATTTGTCTGTAGTTACGAACATCAATCTTGCTTCACCCACGGGTACAAAAGTGCTTTCCTTCATTTAGCAAGTATTTATTCTGCAAAATATCATTGAACAATTTCATCACTTCGAATGACGCATATCTCTTTGGCATTAACTTTTTTGGCTTGAGTTCTTAGCTAGTTCATACATGGTGGTTGACCATACTGTTTTTTTGTACAATTTTTTGACCAGTGTCAGAGGACAGTACATGCCTGATTTCGTTAACCTGTTTGTGGTCCAAGGTGCTTGTGTGAGTGCATGCATGTGAAATTTATAGGAAACAACACAAAGGAGAAACTACCGAACTAAAGAAATGGTGGGACGAGAAATGCTTCATTTATTTATTTATTTATTTTTCCCAAAATCAACTGCATAGAAGCCAATGGAAAAGTAAAGATAGGATTATAATTGGTTATGTTGTTCGGTATACAAATAAATGGTTCAGTAGTCGTTACTTACACAGAGAATCAATAACTTTGCTAGTTGATGACGCTGATAGTTTTTACTGATTTCTTATCTATAGTGCATCATTAGTTTCATATTTTTGTCTGATGCATAAATAATATTTTGTTTGTAAGTCGAAATTGCGTTCAGTACGAGTTATGTCAAAATTGTTGTCTCTCCGTTTGGAGGGAAGACGATTTCCTTAGAACTAATAGTGTGCCTGTTACTGCCATAAATTTATTCTTTTTGATTTCTATGTAAATGTAGATTGGACAAGGGACATACAGCAGTGTGTACCGTGCACGTGAAGTTGAAACAGGTAGGATAGTTGCACTGAAGAAGGTCCGGTTTGACACTTATCAACCAGAGAGTGTCATGTTTATGGCACGAGAAATTACGATTCTCCGCAGGCTTGATCATCCAAACATCATGAAATTGGAGGGGCTAATTACTAATCGTTTATCGTGCAGCATATACCTTGTATTTGAATACATGGAACACGATCTTTCTGGACTATTATCATGTCCTGACATCAAATTTAGTGATGCACAGGTTTGTTAACAACCACTTTTCGGTAATGCTACGCAAACATAATTTAAATACAAAAATGTAATATAGAATAATGTGCCCCATTTATATCCATTAATTGGAAATCAAAATGTTCATCACTATGGTTTATAATTACAAGAATGCCATTGGCACATCATTCTGGTCTTAAATTTCATATAAAATTTGTTCCATCACTTTTTTCAGGTTGCATATAAATAAGCAAGTTTTGTTTTTATTATGATGTATCTGCTGCAGTATTTGTTATTTCCGAAAATGAGACTATCAATTTTTTTTTTTTCGCCTCCAGCTTAGAAGATTATTTAACTCTCTCTCTCTTTCTCTCTCTCTCTCGTAGATTAAGTGCTACATGCGGCAGCTATTATCTGGACTTGAGCACTGCCACTCACACGGAGTAATGCATCGAGACATCAAAGCATCTAATATTTTGGTTAATAATGAAGGAGTTTTGAAGATAGCAGATTTCGGATTGGCAAATTATGTTAGTGCAAGGCACCGGCAAGAATTAACTAGTCGTGTAGTGACTTTATGGTATCGTCCTCCTGAACTTCTACTGGGATCAACAAATTATGGGACATCTGTGGATATGTGGAGTGTGGGCTGTGTATTTGCTGAACTTTTCTTTGGCAAGCCCATCCTTAAGGGAAGAACAGAGGTGAACTCCTTGGAATTCATGTTTTCTAATTGTTTTTTAACTTGCATGCTCTTTTACATAAGCTCATGAAGCGGCACGTAGGAATTTTATTTATTTTGGAAAAAGGGGAAAGAAAATATAGTAAAGAGCACAAAATATTGGAGAAGTGCCTATATCTATGAGTGAGGAATAAAATTACAGTTCCCATTATAAGGTATCTGTATATATTTAAAGAAGGGTCCTTGCTTGGAGACAAGATGGTTCTAGAGAATAACATAATGTTTCGACTCTGTAGATATACACACATATATAATACAATATTAACACACATTTACTCGCATGAAAGCCTTATTTTTCTGGATTACTGTTACTTCGGCATAAAAATTAATGAGGGTTTTCTTTCCATCTACAGGTTGAACAATTGCACAAAATCTTTAGGCTTTGTGGTACTCCAGCTGATGACTACTGGAAAAAGTCTAAGCTTCCTCTTGCATCTATGTTTAAACCCCAGCATCCTTATATAAGTTCTCTCCGAGAGAGGTGTAAAGAACTCCCAAAAAGTGCTGTCACCCTTCTAGAAACTTTTCTTTCCATAGAACCTTACAAGCGTGGGACTGCTTCATCTGCCCTTGAGTCCGAGGTAACTCAATGAATAAAGTTGGTCTAATTCTGCAGTTAATGCACTTCTTTTTGGGCCTTCTTTTATTTATTTATTTATTTTTTATTGTTAATGAAGTTTGAAGTTAGCTTGTGCAGTTGATCCTAGATAGTTTAGTTCCTAACCATTTGCCAATTTATACTACTTTTGAGGATCAGTCAGCACAATTAATAATGTTATTTTGTTATGTAAGCAATACTCTTCACAAAATTTCATTTTGTGTGTGTGTGTTTAATGTTTTTGAATTCTAACTCTTTTTCAGTATTTCACCACAAAGCCTTATGCGTGTGATCCATCTTGCATGCCAAGGTACCCACCAAACAAAGAGATTGATGCAAAAATGCGTGAAGAAGCACGAAGGTGAAGTACCTTATCGCATTTACTGTAATTATTATTGTAAAGCACAAAAGGAAATGAAAGTCGGTAGGAAAATCAAGCTTTGTAAGTGTATGGACCATGATAACAACTAATATTTCCCATTCCTGATCTTTAAACTCGAAGCATTTCCTCAAAATTATGAAGCCCCCCTTCCCTTCAGAGAGAATAAAATTTTCATTATGGCCCTCCAAATCCTAATATTTTTCAACGCCACCCCCACGTTGGATCCCCCAAATACAAAATCTTAGCTCCACCCCTGAATATGGCGAATACCTTCCTTATCTGCCCCAAACGATTACGTTATTTGTTACTTGAAATTAGAAAATCTGAATTGAAGTACCAAATCTTTTCAGAAGAAAGGCTGGTGTCAGAGCACGAGCATCTGGAACTTCAAGATATTCGAGAAGAACCCGTAAAGCTTTCCAAGAACCAAGCTCCATCTCAAAAGTGGTACCAACAGAAGTTTCTCTTTCTCTCCTGCCCTCCTTTGTTTCCCCTCTTCTTTTCTTTTGGGTAAATTACACCATTAGTCCCCATAAGTTTATGTGAAATGTCACTTTAGTTCCCGTAGTTTTAATTTGAACGATTTGAACCCCATGCTTTCAGTTTGTTGCAATGTTGTCCTCCCATCATGCACCGTAAACATTTTGAACTGAAAAGGACCACTTGCAAAACTAGAGGATGAAGGTGGATTTCCAAAAAGAAACTAGTTTTGCACGGTTTTTTTTTTGTGTAAGTGACGGATGGACCACATTGCAACAAAACTAAAAGTACAAAGTTTAAATGGTTGAAATTATGAGGACCAAATTGAAATTCATTCAAATTAGAGGGACCAATGGTGTAATTTACTTGTCTTTTCTTCAGTTGTTTCTAAATCTGTTGGTTACCGCTAATTTGTGAATCGTTAACTATGAAGGGGTTGGAAGGCACTACTCATTTTGGTCGTAGAAACAATGGTAGTGGTGCATATGCACTCAACTCCAAAGGAGTCACTGAGTCTCGGGACTCATTGACATCATATGATACAGTGTCTGAGGCTTCTCAGACAACAGAGGTTTCCCAAGTAGACAGTATTCGCTCGGTCCCAGTAATCACTGCGTCAAATGATTTTGCCTGGGCGAAAAAACGAAAGGGCAATGCTGCCTTCACAAGATTTCAGAGTCAGGGCAGTCCAAGAATTCCAAATTTAAGTCCATTAGACCCGTCAAGCGTCCTACACGCAAGGGATACTTTGGACTCTGAGGAGCATGAGAGTGAAGAAATTTTAAACAAGGAAGTCAATGAGTTGTACGAGGTTGCCAAGCATGATATGAGGAGACTACAAAGTGATAATTCTTATCTGCCGGTTTCTTTTGCTACATCTGAATTGCACCATTCTCAGGAATTCTCGGTAGTAAGTTTATCTAATAGAGATATGGTTGTTTCACAAATAAACTGTTTTAATTGTGATTTTGTTTTTTGACTGCAACATCTGCTTGTAGATTTTCTCAGCATACTTGTTTTTGATCCTGTTGTCTCTGACAATGTATCAGGATTTGCATAATAACAAAAAACCGCAATTCTCCTCGGGCCCATTGTTCTCTCAGCAAGATAGACTTGATGAAGGACAAGAAGATCTTATTGGGCAAAGCGTTCGTAGATCAAAATTTTCTAGAGGTAAGACAGTAGGAGAAAATCAGTTCTCTTTATTTATTTATTTTTATTTTATTTATAAAGTAGCTCTCAAGCTAGGTTTCCATGGTGTTTGTTTTTTTTTTTTTTTAATTCTGTTGCATTGTACAACTAGACACTGCCAATGCGATGTCACAAAAATAGAAGATGATGATAATTAGGAAGAATGACGCAGTAAGGTTGCTCCATTGTTATATGGGCCTCATAAGTTTGAAACACGGAAACCTTCATGAGTCTCGTGCACTCGACTGCCCTTTATTGTATACGTGTAACTGCAATCTAAGAAACATGGACACGATGACACGTAAATTTTCAAAAAATGTAAGAAACAACACATGAGGGGCATGCTCCAAGCACATCGTGTTGGTATTTCTTAGACTGCAATGTATACTAGGTGGTATAAATTCTCACTGAACACGGAATAAGTATTTGTATTGTGCTTATGCAGGCTTGTAGTGCAAAGGAACTGGGAGTGGAAGATCCTCCGCAAGCCATATCTATCAAGCAGTTTGTGCCCTTGCGTGCTGACATATCCCCGTTGTTACCTTCCTGAGGTTTTAGCCCCTGAACTCTGTGATTGTACCTATTGTACCCCTGAAGAACAAAAAGAAAAAGGAAAGAGAGAGAGAGAGAGAGAGAGAGAGTTCATTCATTCATGAGATATAATGAGTTGAGCACAAAGTTAAATGCTTAAAATTTGTCATACAATTGGCAAAACAGTGTGTGGTTTCAGATGTTTTGAAAGCATGCAAAGTTATATTACTTCTTGGAGAAAGCCATGTAAATAATGGTGGAATAGTTTCATTTTTGGTAGTGTCCAAATCACCCTTTTTTGTCCAAGGATTACAGTTACATTTTCTTTTTTCTCTTTTTATTTTGAAAAAAAAAAATTTCCCTTAATAGACCACCGCCTTTGGTAGCTCGTCTCGTTCGCCTTTTCATTTCATTTATTTTGTTTTTTTTTTGGGGGACGTATATATTATAAAAAATGATGTGACCTATTTATAACAATTCATAAAAGAAAAAAATAGAGTCCAAATTGTAGTTCGTAGTCGCAAAAAATGATTTATTGATATCAAAAAGTTGGAGATGGGCAAAGTTTGGGGGCAGTGCTAAATTCCTAAAGATGGTTACCAATTTTTACTTTGATTATCAATTATTTTGATTATGCAATTGATGTGTGGGTTGCCTAATGATTAGCAGAGGAATTGGATCATGATCCAAATCACGTATCTCGTTCCTAAATACGTTATAATTTTTTATGATGAATAAATCATAGGCATGGAAAAAGTTCACTCTCATGACTCTTTAACTAAATAGGTTCGGAACATTATTCAATACTTTCAAAATATTATGGTAGTAAAGTATACGTGGTATTCCAACTAATGAGTCGCTCAAAAAGGAGATGAATAGAAGCGACCTCATTACTATCTTAATCAGTAAAGTATACGTGGTATTCCAACTAATGAGTCGCTCAAAAAGGAGATGAATAGAAGCGACCTCATTACTTACTTAACGGATTAAGATGGGTCAAATTTTGTTAGATAATTTTCACTGTATTTAAAAAAAAAAATTATTTGTGTATTTAACAGCAAACAGAATATAAAAGAAATAAAAGAAATGAGAGAAATAAGTTTGATTACAAAAATCAAACTAGAAATAAAAAGTAAAAATAAAAACAGATTTTATTTTGTTTCAAAAATAAAATTAAAATCTGATTTAAATAAACAAATAAAACAGAAAAATAATTAAACAACTTACTTGATTAATTCCTTCGAATAATAATCTGATCAAGTCCAGTGTTAGACACTCTGTCCTTAAGACAGATTCGTCCTCTCCACGGTGCTTTCAGAATATGGACGTCTATCTCCTAGAATGAAATGATCAACAACAAATAAATGCAGCACTACAATTTATTTGTTCAACGAACACACTAAGTGTTTACACTCTTTCTCACAAAAAATAGATGCAACAAAATACAGAATATATTTAGCAGAAGGGAAGTACGAATTTGATGAATCTAATCAATTAAAACATCAAATGATGGCTGCCTATTTATAGATGCAGTGGTGGCTATTAGTTTTGAATTAAACAAGCGCAAACCTGTTTTGAACAGGTATGAAACCTGTTTGGTTTTGAATTTAAACAGATTTAAATCTATTGGGTTCAAAATTCAAACAGATAAAATCGGAAGGGACCTGTTTGGGTGTAGAGAAAAACCGGAACAGATTAATCCCAGAATTAATTTGAATTCTGAACAGTTAGACAGATTTTATTTTAAAAAATAAAATTAAATCCAAATGTTTTTTGTCCAAAAAGATTAATATTGGGCCGAACAAGCATAACCCAACCACGCACCCGCGCCCAGCTTGCCCGACCGGATGGATGGCGGCGTGTGGTGATTTTTGGATCTAATGGGTCTAGCACATAACCTCCCTCTTTACAAAACTTGGGTACCCCTTGGGGCACACCCTAAGATCCAATCCTATGCCTTATAAATCCACTCAAAACTTCTCACCAAATCAATGTGGGACAAATCATTTTCCAACTTTAAGGAATTTCTACCAAAACTCCATTTCCATGGAGCTCACTTTGGCTTCAATTTCCTATTCACCCGATAATGGTTTTGAACAACTAAATATACCACGTGAATCACAACGCGGAATAGAACGCGTTATCATTTAGACCCGCCAAAATTGACGCACAGGTCCCATTTAAATAATAGACCAAAGTTAGGAAAAAATTCTATTTTTACCCAAAAATTTTCAACCATTTTCCAACAAAATTGACTCTACTCGCTCTGTTTTTAATAATTTTAATAGTTGAGAAACACTATGTCAACGTGCTGAGTTAATATTTCAAAAATACTAAATAATTACTTTTACGGACACTCTTGATACACTAGGGATCTATAGAACTCGTTCTCATAGATGCTCCATCCCATCAAATTTACTGTTTTTGGGATTGATTCATTTGAATGAAAAATATAATTTAAAAAGAACAAATTTTCTTTAACTTATTTACGAAACAATTTCATTTGTAATATATTTTTCATTAAATTTTAAAGAACCAAATATAAAAATAAACATTTATAAGAACCAAATATATTTCATCTACCAAGTCTGTTGGGTCTATCCCACATCAACTCGGGAGGGACTCTTCGTCTACCTTATAAGCGTATCGGCCCCCTCCATCTGTCAACAGGCCTTTTCCCCTCTTCCAGGGGGAGGAACAAAACTGTAAGGGGGTAAGCTCGTAGCGGCCCAACCCCAAAGCGAACAATATGTTGACACACCACGAGAGACCAGGCACGTGCATTGGCGCTAGAAGGAGGGCATCTGGCAAACTCTCCCGCTATTCGCGACCCAGTCCACTGGGAGGTTATGTTGGGTCTATCCCACATCGACTCGGGAGGAACTCCTCGTCTACCTTATAAACGTATTGGCCCCCTCCATCTGTTAACAGGCCTTTTCCCCTCTTCCAGAGGGAGGAACAAAACTGTAAGGGGGTAAGCTCGTAGCGGCCCAACCCCAAAGCGGACAATATGTTGACACACCGCGAGAGACCAGGCACGTGCATTGGCGCTAGAAAGAGGGCATCCAGCAAACTCTCTCTCTGTTCGCGGCCCAGTCCGCTGGAGGGTTATGTTGGGTCTATCCCACATCGACTCGGGAGGGACTCTTCGTCTACCTTATAAGCGTACTGGCCCCCTCCATCTGTCAACAGGCCTTTTCCCCTCTTCCAAGGGGAGAAATAAAACTATGAGAGGGCAAGCTCGCAGCGGCCCAACCCCAAAGCGGACAACATGTTGACACACCGCGAGAGACCGGGCACGTGCATTGGCGCTAGAAGGAGGGCGTCCGACAAACTCTCCCGCTGTTCGCGGCCCAGTTTGCTGGGAGGTTATGTTGGGTGTATCCCACATCAACTCGGGAGGGATTCCTCGTCTACCTTATAAGCGTACTGCCCCCCCATCTGTCAACAGGTCTTTTCCCCTCTTCCAGGGGAGAACAAAACCGAAAGGGGGCAAACTCGCAGCGGCCCAACCCTAAAGTGGACAATATATTGACACACCGTGAGAGACCAGGCACGTGCAAAGTCCATTACAACACATCCCAATTACAACCCCTAGTCTTGTCAAACCAAATTGCCCAATACCTAAATTAAATCATACAACACATTAATTTAAAAAAAATAAAAAAATAAAAAAAAAGGCTATATCACATCATTCTATATAAATCTTTACAAGATTTTCTTTTGTTAATCACACAAAGGTTGATCCAAGAAACTAATAAAAAGAAAAGAAAAAAAAGAGTTTGGAAACAAAACATAGTATTATATACTCTTTACATGGACATATACAATAAACATGCAAGATTCATGATATTTTAAAAATAATAATAAATTTCGTTATTTTTTAATGTGATAAATTTTCACATACACAATTTATTACTCCTCTATAAATACACAGATAAAGCATATCATCATTCAATATTTTTTCACTGTCCTTTTTTTTGTGTTCGGTATAGACGTAGATCACGAAAAATTATTGATTGATTCTGAGATATCATGTGATCATATCTCAAACCAGCTACAAATTCTCATATTTTCTCATATTTTTTAATTATTCGATATAAAATTGAGTCTCACTCCTTCCAATAAATCAAAAACACAGCATCAGCCCATAGAAGCTATATACCAGCCCAGCCCAGCCCAAATAGTAGCAAGAAGAACAAAGCGTTCGTATTCAACAAGAAACCTCTCTCTACATACTACATATTGCTCTCTCTCTCTCTCTCTCTCTCAGCACCGAGACAAACTACAGACGAAAGCCCTACCATCTCTCTCTTCTCCATCGTCGCCGGTAAGCTTCTCTCTCTCTCTCTCTCTCCCCTCAATTCATGTTCTATATATGTTTTCATCTTTGTGGATTTGTATGCTTGATTTAAGACGATCTGTGCTGCGAACTTTGTTTTTCTTTAGCTATTATGGGCATGTTTGATTGGGCGGATTAGAGTGTGGGATTAGGATTATTAATCCGTGGGCCCAATTATCCTATATTTGTTTTAATATTTTTGTTTAGGATTATTAATCCAATGGATAATTAATCCAACAAATTTGTAGGATTATTAGTAATAGGGTAGGGGTGGGATTAATAATCCAATGGATATTAATCCAATTGGATAGTGAATACCACACTAATTTACTAGGACTATTAATACTTCACTATTAATATTGTGAATCAAACATGACCTATATGTATTCGTGATGTATTTGGTGGGATTAGGTGGATTCGATGGTTTGAGAGCAATGTGATGGTGTGGGGAAGTGGCTGATATTGTTAATTGGGTGGTGTTTCAGAGAGAGAAATTGATTTAGTGAGAGAATCAGAAAGTGACAGTGGCTAGCTATGGTGGTTGGAAAGGAAAGTGACCTGCCTGTGTGTGGAAAATGATAGGATGTTGGAAGGTGGCTGGTGTTTACTGGTTGAAGCTCACAGAAGAAAAATGGTGGGTGTGGATACGTAAAACCGGAATCTTTTACGCCAATTCTCATCACCAAACCCAAATCAATTCATATTCATTCACAATTTTCGGGAAATTCCCACTAATCCTGTTGCTGCAATCGACCATTTTCACGCAACTCCAACCAATGAAAATCAATTTATTTATTTTTATTTATTTTTATTTTTATGTTGGTGAAGAAGTAAATCATGGTGGGTCTGGGGTCCTTGCTATGTAGATCACAGTTTAAAAAATGCAGGGTTTGAAACTTGGATTCATTGGTGGAGAGTGTTGAAATTATATAAATCTTTGTTCTGTCTGTTAAATGGCTTTGTTTGGTTTAGCAGTGTGAGCTATTAGGTAGTTGAATTTTGGGCTTAAAAGAATTGTTTCCATGGACTTATGCATTGTCGTA